ACTCTCAACATCAATCCAGAAATGATCTTCACTTTCCTTGAGATGTCATTCTTCTTTGACATTTAAATGTGCATACAGAAGTAAAGAAGATGCCAAAGATGGTGATTGACTGATAAGGTTTATATTCTTGGTGGTGGGTAACTAAAGCAGGCCTGTTTATGGACAGTAAATTGGGAACCTAAAATTTGAAATCGTCCAACAAATACCATCCAAAAACTCCCTTAAAATTATATACTAGCCTCACTTCCATGTTGAAATTGGATAAGAAATGGTACAAGTGGCTTTCTAGGGTCACATAAACAGTATAAACTATGACAATTGGTTTAGAAAATATCTCCAGCAAATTCGAAAGCTTTATTATTCAGCTACATGATGATTCAACTGTATCCACAAAGTTTTATAGATAACTTAGTATCTATTATGTACTCGAGAACTTTAATGGAATACCCATGTATCATGTTCCACACTATGCACATTTGTTAAGAGCTTCCCATCCCCAATCATGAAAGCACTGCATGATGACAAAAAGGAATATTAACAGTAAATTAAATTTTAATACTTAATATACAACACAAGATGAATGACAGACAAATAACCACTTGAATGGAATTAGAAAAGCTTGAGAACCAGTTACACTCTTTTTCCTAAAAGCTGTCTATATGCTTCAGAACCAGACACAGGTTAGAATCTTGCCTTCCGGTGCTTGTATACTGTCTTTGCTTTTGCCAAGGAAAGGAATAATCAGGTGCAGTATGGGTGCGGTAAACCTAGATCAGATATAAGATAAGGCTTATCATAAACAAATAGCAAATAAGTTCTTTAAATTAATGACTTCCAAGAAATTTACTTTAATAACCATTTTTTCTCAAAAAAAAAAAAAAAGAAAAACAACAACAACAAATAATAATAATAATAATAATAATAATTAGTATGGATTTCTACCTAAAGTGATATGCATCGCTTGCTGCTTGAAGATGCATCCAAAATGCCTGTTTAGATAAAAACAATTTCTCCTCTTATCTATACGAATATCAAAGGCATTGGTCCAAAATGAGCAATCTGTCTACCCAATGACCTAGCCATCTAAATTTGTCTTAGCATGGGTGCGTTTGACACTTTGGAAAAGAGCAAAGACAAGGTTTCGTTGTGGCACAAGAACTCAAAGGCTAGGGACTATATCATCTACAGAAAGCATTGACACACAAAAATGCTATTTAGATATGCACACCAGGCACTCAAAGATGCAACAATTAGAAATTTAAAGTATGATAATGCCAAGATGGCACTCTATTGTTTAACAAACTAATTAGATTGAATATTTTAAACATAACAATTTTTTTGCTTTAATCTTTTCTGAACCTTCACAACAGCATTGAGAAAGGTTGCATCCTGAAGATTCCCTGGCTCAACCTGAAATAAAATGGAAACAGGTGATAACAAATAAAGCGTTACAGAAAGTAAATCAAGTGAACACAAAAGATACAGAAGTGAGTATATGATGAGGCAAACCAATGTAGTATTTTATAAAATGATAAATTTGCTAAGAGTATTAGTAAGCACACTTGAAGAAATTTTGAGAAACAAAATTTCAATTACAACTGTTCCAGATGATGATATAAAAAGTTCTCAGAAATTTTCGAGGGCTTCCAACATTATCATGATTAGCACTTTGTGCATTGTACATGTTGGGTGTCATGCTTATGATGACTGGAGTCAAGTGACTTTGCATACTGGCCTTGTTAACGATTAATGTGAAAGTCATAATAAGGTCCAGGTTTCTTGAGTAGTATATGCCCAAACTCATAAGATAATTGTTTAGACCCCAGGTGTCATAAATGGTTGGAAAATGGGGTTTCTGTATATGCAAAACCATATCTTAAATTTGTGGTTTCTACTTTAGAAAATAGCCAAGCAATAGATGAATTAAATTCAACCCAATCATGTAAGTCTGTAGTCAAAGGACTTCATGTTCCGCAACAGTTAGAAGTACAACAAATTCCTTTCAAACTACAGGTTTGCAAATGTACCCGTTGCTCCCTTGAGTCAAGTTGAATCTCCTTCTTGTCTTTTCTTTGTGCAACAAATGATTTAAAACCACTTGAGAGGACGCCCCCTGTCCCCCCTACCACTAATTCCATCAGCATATAAACTGGACTTTTCATCTTTCGATCTTCCAAGAGGTTTCTTCTGGAAAACAGAATCTTTCTGAATATGAAATATAATACATCAGTGGATTAGTTAAAAAGGATCAAATTGATCTGAGAACCACGGTGCTATAAAAGAAACCAACTGTATAAAACTTACTTCTAATCTACAGAACGTACATAAAAGGTTCAGACAGGGAGCACTCTCTTATTAACACCAATACCAAGCATGCGATAAAATGAAATTGCTATATTTGTCTTCTTCTATCGATAAAACCTTTCCAAAACCTACTTTGCAATCGCATACAAAGTGGTTAATTAAAGGGGAAAAAAAATAAAATTTTATTGTTGCAACATTTGATGGAGCACTTCACTTCGATGAAGATGTTTATAATTCAGAAAAATCAAGCAGCCGTTATCCTTAAACCCTAACAGAGTATTTCCACAGCCTCGCGCAAATCAAATTACACCATTAACTGATTTATAATGCTAAAGACTCTCCCAAACGAGAGAAACGAACCACAAACGACATTGCAAATTGCCTAATCTTAAATGACGAAATCGCAACTTGAAAAAAGTATACGTTTAAATAAACTAGAAAAAAATAATGAGCGACTAATTTATGAAGCCATAAACAAAAACATTAACACGTGAAGTATTGAGAAATCAAAAGGCACCAGTTTAGGCAGAATTTGAAAAAAAAGAAACCAAAATCAAACGTAAAGAACAGAAAAGAAGTGTTAGTGTTTACCTTAGCGTTGGATTTACGCGGAGATGTCGACGAGCTACTCTTGAGAGCGCGTTTCTTATTATTGTTGGCTTTAGAAGAGAGCGCGTCGAAAGAGGCGTGGAAGTGGAGGTGGAAGTGGAAGTGGCGAGACGCCGGTGATAAGAAACGGAGTAATGGGATTTAACGGTGGGGGTGAGTACGTAGATCCAGCAGTTGACAATTGTTATTGCCATAATAATAAGATACTGAAGCGGTGCAACAGCTGCAAGGAAAATGACGAGGAAAAGGAGATTTTTTATAGAATGTGAAGATACGCTCTCTATTCCTTGTACAAGCATTCACTGTAGAATAACAGTATGGCCGCCATTGCCAATATTATTTTGATTATAATCACATTGCATCTTTCAAGATAAAGATTTCAAAATTAAATTTCTTATCGTATTAATCTAAATGCAAATAAAAATAATAATAAATCAAAACTTTATTAGTGAGTTCAAACTTAAAAATCCTAGATCCTAACAATTAATAAAGTGTTAATTAAAATTTAAATGGTTCATTTAACTTTTTATAAAAATCAAATTTCAAACATGGTTGAGACAATATATTAATATATTATATATAGATTTGCAATGATCAATCTTTATCCAAACTTAGTTTTTAACTAAATTGATTTTAACAATTTTTGGGAAAAAAATAACAAGCTTGATAGTCAGTTATAAGCCAGTTTAATCAACAACATCCAGATTAGCATTGGAATACACATACTTACACAATGAAATACTCGTATTTTAGGATATTCTCCTCCGATCATACATATGATTTCAAATCTAAAATCAGATTTACCAGGCATGATTAAGGTTCTAATAATCAGTTTTTTTATTGCTAACATTCATAATTGTTTTGCCAAAAGAAGTCAAACAGAGTTTAGGTAGGGTGATAAACTGTAACGCCATTTTGAGGTAAAAAGTGCAGCCAATGGGAACAAAAACGCGAGGCAGAGAAAAAGTGAAGAGAAAACGAAACAGTAACAGGCTAATACCCTTGGCCCATTCTTTCTTTTAATTAAATTAATTAATTTCACCCCTGGATTGAAGTTCGTAGGATGGACCCATGTCCACGTGTCATCCTCGGAACTAGCCTGTTTGTCGAACCTGTTTCGTTGCAGCTCCTAGCAGGCAAGGTCGGTGCCCATCGTCAAGCTTAGAGTGACGGCGTTACGACGTAGCTTTCATCAATTGGTTACTTTAACTCACTCCGGTCGTTGGAGGCTGGTCCTTGTTTTGCGTTGCCGTTAAGGTTTAACGGCCGCAGACCTTAACAGTAAAGGCCGTTAAAACAATGACGAAGCCTCCTTTTGCATTTTACATTGAAACAGTGAAGACGTTAGACCTGTCGTTTTCACCGCTGTAATTGCTCCATCTTCTTTGTCCTTTCCTCTCCCTCGACAACTCACAAGGTCCGTTCTCTTCCCTTAACAGCAAATACAATTTTTACATATATATATATATATATTTCAAATGACATGCAACAAAATAAATTTTAAAAATATTAAATTTTTAAAAAATAATATTGATAAAAAAAGTAAATATATCTTAAAAAATTTAGATTAACTTAAAGATTGTTATATTAATTTTGTTTATTTCAATTAAATTAGTTTTAATGAATCGCTTTGATTTTATATATTTATATAGAATATTAATAATATATTATGTTAATATTTTAAAATTTTTCATTAATACTATGATTATCATCATAAAAGAAAAACTTGTTAGGACATAATATGCATATACATTGGTAGTTTGCAATATTTAAATGGAATTAAATTCAAACATCTGCATTTTTTTATTATTTGAAATTTTAGAATTTACTTAATAAGTAAAATAAAAAATTTATTATTTTAATAAAAAAATTATAATTATTTATTACTTTATTAACAAAATTTTCATTCTTTCCAACGCTAAGAAAAGGGTCGGAAAAGAATTTGGTCGCAGCTTGATTTCTAGATGTAAGGCATGCTAGAAAGTTGAACCCCCCTGGATGCTTAACAAATCAGCATTGGACACTTAATAAAGCTAAAGCCAGCTGGTTACTCCTTATAATCACTTGTCCTAAAAGTATGATTAAAAAGACAAACCCACCATGCAGCCTACTGCCAAGCTAGTGTTCACTGATCCCATCCCCATCAGGCCTCAGCCCCATCACAATCAAAAAGAGTAGTACTAGGAGTAGTACTCCGACGAGACCTCCAACCCTACGATCTTTAGCTTGACCCATCTCATATGATCAAAGGATCATCATGCTAGATCAACGGTTGTTCTTTGTTAATATATAATATTAATTGAATTTTCCTCAAAATTTCGAAGGGAAAAAGGGGAGGCGGAGAATGACATAGAGATCCAAGCAGGAAATGTGCATGAAAGGGCAGAAATAAAGCGCCTAGGATATATCGGTGCCCAGAGTAGCAAATATCGCCAGAGATCAACAACCCCAACGACAACGAGCCACACTTCACCCCAAAAAAAGAGTACGGGGAGTGAGAGGCAGACACATACAACACAACAGCTGTGCATCGTCAATATCTCTGAATATTCAGACAAAGAAAGAAAGAAAAAAAGAGAGAGAGAGAGAGGGAGAAAGAATTAGTGTAGAGTTTAAAGGACGATATCTTCAAAACGTTCCTGCATGCACTTTGGGCACACGATGAAAACATTTTTGCATTAATAACCATCGTCACAAAAACGGAGAGTGGGGGGGGGGGGTACCTGGTGGTGTGTTTCTGTGATGACACGGGACCGCCTGATTCTTGAGAACTCTTTCTGTCAACTTTTGTCATTTTGTTAATTATTTACAAAACTTAAACATATAAACACCTTTGTCTTTGCCGTTTCTTTTCCTTTATTTCTCACTTCTTATTAGCTGCGTCTTCCTTATTCCAGGAAAGGGGTTTCTTCTTCTTTTACATATATATATATATACACACACACACACACATACACATATAAACTCCTTTTGGTTTTAGAAAAGAGATAAAAAAAAAGAAAGAGAGATGGATGGTGAACGGAATGTTTTGAAGGCTAAGGCTCCTTTTCAGTCCAGAAGACGCATCGACGTCGATGGCTTGCGTCCTCCAAACAACCAAGGTTATCAGTTTCTTCACATTTTATTACATTCCTTTTCAAACTCTTGTAAATTTTGGGTTTTGTATTTTACCCTTGACTATTTATTCGAACACTTGTTTATTAACCATGTTCTGCTAGCTTCTTCTATTGTTCACTGTAGAATTATGAGATCGATGTAATAGTATATCTTCGTTTTCTTTGCTTGAACTTGTTGGACGAAGATTATTCTTCATAGAAGTCATAAACCGCATTGTCTTTTATTCTTTCTTTTGTGTTTTGTTTCAACATCAAATGTAGTACGACGCACAGTGGAAATTAATCAATCATCTCATATGTTTTTTGGTCCCAACTCTAGGCTCTTTAAATCTATAGAACGGGACCCCAATGTTTCAATTTGTTCATCACTGATCACCTGAACTGATTTCTTTCTTTGTTGTTTTTTTCTTTGTGTGTGTTTTGAGTGCCGTGGTTTGATTTGTTGTGAAATCAGGAGAAAAAGATGATCTGTATATTAAACTATGGCATCTATGCGCGGGTCCTTCTGTTTATGTACCACGCGCTGGAGAAAAGGTGTTCTACTTCCCTCAAGGTCACTTGGAACAGGTTCTCTCCCCTTCGTAGCTTGCTTTTTTCTAAATAGTCGGTTAAGCAAATTTTTTAGTCTTCTTAAACCACTAATTAATTAAGGCTTTTTATTTTTCCCCTTAAAACTTGAGACAACGAAAAATGGATGCATCCCATTTTGCTAAGTATAAAAAAGTCACAATTATAAAGTTGATTCAAAGCTCTGATGACTATTTGGATTGATTTCCTTTGCAGCAGCATCTTTTTTTTTTTCCTTGCGTTTTCCCAGTTACACTTTCACACTAATAGAGTAGTAATTTTTTTTTTAAAAGAAGGAGAGTTAGAGGTCCTGCGTTTGATAAAAAATTTTTGCTTGTGTATTGATGTGTATATTTAATGATTAAGCTTTTGACGCAGATCGAGGCATATATGAATGAAGATGGGACAATGGAAATGCCCATCTACAATTTACCTTCCAAGATCCTCTGCAGGGTGGTGCATGTTCAGCTTAAGGTATCCATTGCACATGTACATTTTATTGTCTTCTAGTGGACAGGTTACACTTTCAGGAGGTTATATTTAGCTGCTCATCATAAATTGTTGTTTATGCTACTTCATTGTGGCTTTGCAGGCTGAACCTGGTACAGATGAGGTCTTTGCACAAATTGTTCTGCTTCCAGAGGCAGAGGTTAGATATTAAGATGCCGAGAGTTTCTTTCTTTTCATTTACTTTGCTTTAGACTCACCCAGGTTATTTATCCTTTTTCCTTTCCAGATGAGGGGGGATTTGCTTTTCCAAATTCCATTTAGTTCACATTCATTTATTTTCTATATCTTTTGTATCATAATTTCATTAATGTTGCTTTTTTTTTTTTCCTTAACAGCAAGATGAGCTAAGTGTGGAGCATAGAAATTATCAAGCTTTACCTCGGAAAGCTTATTCACGGTTTTTTAGTAAGAAACTCACTCCATCTGATACAAACGCACATGGTGGATTCTGTATTCCAAAGCGACATGCTGATGATGGGTGTCTTCCACCTCTGGTTGGTTTCTTTATGTGTTTCTTCTTTTGGGTGCATTCATGTTCAAAATAAAATACTTTTGAAAATTTGGAGATGAGATACTATGCATTTAAGAAGCTGCTTTAGACTAATTGAATCAGGGTTTTCTTGTTCTTCAAACTAATAAAGAGTGCAGAATCAGGTAACTTGCCAGTCTACCATTTAATCAAATTATTTGTGAAAATGAAAATAGCAAGACTAATGTTTCCAGTCTTCAGGCATATATATTTATGGTTTTCTGCAAGATTCCTTCACTTCTGGAACCAGTTTTACAACATCAAGCAAGTCTTAACTTATCTAGATAGGCCATATAATTCATGATTTTTAAGTTGTGCACATTGTTGCAGGACATGGCTCAGCAAACCCCACAGCAGGAATTGGTTGCAATAGACTTGCATGGTTTTGAGTGGCACTTTCGGCATATTTTTCGTGGTACCCTAATCTTTCTTCCACTAATCTACATTTAAACCTGGGATAATTTAAGCATTACCCTGATCAGCTCATTGCAACGAGAAAGTAACTATAGATGTCTCAAAAATATCCATATTTTGTATTAAAGGAGCATGGTATTTAAGATGAAAATTGTTTTGAGTACCTAGTTTGAGTGCAATGATTATTGAAATATTAATTTAAATTGGGGCCATCTGTTGAAAATCTCAGATTATTCTATTAATAGAAAGTGTACGGAAGAAAAAAAAAAGAAAAGCCCTTAGTTTATTGCTAATGAAATTATCACGTTCTTGGCTTAGTTTATTGCTAATGAAATTATCACGTTCTTGGCTTAGTTTATTGCTAATGAAAATCAAGTTCTTGGTTTAAGTTATATGACGTGCAGCTTGTCCTAAAGTCTTCATGTGTCTTTAGAAAGGATTAGTTTGCTTCATTCTTCGTATTTTTTGTAACCTATTTCATATAGTTAGTTTCCTTATGGACTGTGTTCCTATACAAATGTAGGTCAGCCAAAAAGGCACTTGCTTACCAGCGGTTGGAGTACATTTGTGACTTCAAAGAAGCTTGTTTCTGGGGATGCATTTATCTTTCTTAGGTTCTCTCTCTCTCTCCCAAAAAAAGTGTCAGACATTTCTGCGCAAGCTTTTATCTTTTGTGTTCAATATACTATGTGTTCTAGGCATAAGTCTAGTTGTATATCATATGCATGCTTACGTTCACATGATTCAATGTTACATGGACATAGTCTTTTGGAAGTTATGAAGGAATTTATTTCTTTAAAATGTTGATTTTATGGCATATGCTATATATTAAGTGATAGATAAAACAAATAATTACAAGAAAAAATTATTGTTCTGTAGAGGGGAAAATGGAGAGCTTCGTGTGGGAGTTCGCCGAGCAATGACAACACTGAACAATACATCAACATCTGTCATATCTGGCCACAGCATGAGACATGGCATACTTGCTAGTGCTCTCCATGCCTTTTCTACCAGAAGCATGTTTACTGTCTACTACCGTCCTTGGTAAGTTGTGACATTCTAATAGAGGCTAAGTTCAATGTAATGTACAACTTTACTTGTCATACTGTAAATGAAAGAGCAAGGCATTAATTATTGCATCTTTGCAGGACAAGTTCTTCTGAATTTATCATCCCACTTGATCAGTATATGAAGTCAGCTCAACTTGACTACTGCATTGGGACAAGATTTAGGATGCAATTTGAAGGCAAAGAGTGTGGGGAAAAAAGGTACCCACCTTATCATAATCTTTCATAGAACTGAAAGGCATAGTACTACAATTTGGATTAGTTTCCTTGTTAGTATTTCAAAACCTAGCAAATAAACAATTAGTTGTTGCATATGATTTGAAATTTGAAGTATGTTTTATTTCCTAGCTTCCTTTAACCAAATGCACTCTTCTTTTTAACCAGAGCTCTCGGCACCATCATCAGCATTGAAGATGTTGATCATATTAGGTGGCCCAATTCTAAATGGAGATGTCTGAAGGTAACATGTGCTCTTTTGCATGAGTGATTGCATGACCTCTTGATGTATATGATTTCTAGTTTAATATTCATATATTCAATCTATTCATAGACTTTTACATTTTCTTAGGTGAAATGGGATCCCACCTCAGTTGCAGTTTTGCATCCTGAAAGACTTTGTCCTTGGAACATTGATGCAATGGAATTCACTAATAAAAAAAAACCTATCATTCTAAATTGCCCAAAGGCAGCTCGTACTGATGATGCATCATCTCCTGGCTTTTCTAGCCTGCTTATGGATGGTCTGTAATCTATATTCTTGTCTGGATTCAACATATCCTCTTTAAGGAGATTCCTTTAAAGCTGAATCTGGAATATGATCATATTAGTTTTCCTGTTTATAAAATCGATGGTAAACTCTGCAGCTACTGATCTTAATTTCTTCTTTACTAGGCATGTGGCATGGTTCAGTTAAATATGAATCTCAAAGTAGCTCGGGGGTTTTGCAAGGTCAAGAAGATAGTGACACAGATGCGAATCGATCCAGTGCACTAAGACAACCATTACCACATTTTCTCCCACTAAATCCTAGTTGGGCCTCAATACAACAACAGATGGAGAACCAACTAGAGATTCAGATTCCGGTATGCAATTCATTTTATCAATGTACCAGCAGCACAACACTCTTTTCTGGTGGAAATGTAGCTAGTTTGGGCCTTCATAATAAGTGGCCCCCAACATTCTCCTGTTATGGAGTTCATGACAATGCTCTTGCTAGCAGAAAAGTTAGAGTTCCAAATGTCAATTCTATGGAATGGAGAACTTTGGAACGAAGGAATGAAAGTAAAACTCCATTGTGCCAACCAAATGGTGGTCACAGTTACATGCTTTTTGGAGTAAATTTAGTTCATGGTCCACCGGAGCTCCCTTCACCACAAGTTGTCACTTCTAGTGAGCTTGGAAGTCTTTGTTCTATTCCTCCAACATCTCAGTCAAGTGTTTCTGAACCTTCTAAGGGTAGATCTAGCACGCAGTGCAAGAACTGCTGCTCTGTCAGCAATCGGAGTTGCAACAAGGTACTGCTGCTTTTCTAGATAATTCTACCTTTTTGTGAATATAAAAGAACGAAAATCACCTGCTTTGCATACTTGTTTCTTCATGCTTAGATAACATTCATTCAACAGGAATTTATCTGTTTAAGTTCAATTGCATTTTAAATTGTTAGATGGCCTATGAAGTTGGTGATCATAGCTCATTTTTCTTCAGAATTTTCATTTTGCAGCCTGAACTATCATTAAATTGATTGTTTCCAGAAATTGATTCTGAGAACATTCCTTTCTCTTTTAGGTGCTCAAGTATGGAACTGCTCTTGGAAGATCGGTTGATCTCACTCGATTTAATGGATATGAAGACCTCATATGTGAGATTGATCACATGTTTGATTTTAAAGGAAGATTGATTGATGGAAGCAGCGACTGGCACGTAACCTTCACCGATGATGAAGGGGACATGATGCTGATTGGAGATTACCCATGGCAGTTAAGCGCAAAACTAAATACAAATTCCATTTAAAACACCCCATCCCCAACTCCCAAAAGAATGTGTGTCCTCGATTTTAGTATGAGATTTGCTTTATAACTAGATCTCCCTGCAATTACAGGAAATTCCAGTACGAGGTCCGAAGGATGCTCATCTGCCCAAAGGAAGAAATCAACAGACTAAATCCAAGCTCACCAAATTCAACATCTCACTAAAAAAGACTTGTGCGGAAGTCTTTTAAATCATCAGTGTGGTCTTTTTAATACAACGGAAGGAGAATTGCCAACGCACACTGTATGAACCAAGTTGTTTGTTCTTCAAATTATGATGTTTTAAAAGAGATTCAGTCTATGGACACTGCATCTCTGAATACTGCCCTGTCATGCACATTACATAGATACATGCAGCCATGAACTTTCTCCAAAGTTGGTATGGATAATGGTCTTTTATGGAATAAGGCAATGGGTATAAAGCATATGATATCTGTAGCTAATATGCTTGTTGATATTGCTGCTTAGAAATCCTGTAGCTATCTTTAAATGGTTTGTTTAGTCAGGCTAGCTTCAGAAAAAAAACACGGCTAATATCAAGCATACATTACTTTTGATAAAAGGTAATGAAACTATCTGGGAGTGATTAATAAACGGTGTCGTTTTTTTGCAGCAATGGTGGATGATATTTGTCATCGACAAGCTCCTGTCAACTATCAACTAAACTGAGTAATAATCCCGTTTTCCCGTCACCGCTCAATTTTCCAATTTCCACCCTTGTGAAACAATAATAAGCGCCGAACACAAACATTTGACAAATAGATATTGTTAACCAATCAATGAAATCAATGTCTCTCCTCTGGATCTGCAGCGGCGACTATCTCAAATTCCTATTATTTCGGTCGGTCATTAACTCGTAATCCCCCGTCAATTCCAACCCGTAAGTTTCCTCTCAAAAGAACCCAATGTTCGAAGTTCGATCATTATTCTAAGATCTCAGTCTTCTTCGGAGCTTCGAGGGAATCAACAAGGACAAGATCCAGAAACCCTAGTCCAGAACCTGAGAGAGTTGCGGACCACTGGCTACCACCTTCCAACGCCTTGGAGGTACCCAGTCTTGAAATTTCACTTTCACTTTACTCCTTATAATCGGAATTACTGTTTTTTAACCAATTTTGGAATTAATTAATTTTATTTCGTAGCTGTTTGTGTGAACTGTCCGACGGGGCTAAAAATCTGAAATCATAAGTTCGGAGGTCAATTAAAAGTAAAGGCTGAAAATTTCTTGGACATTTGTGCTTCCACGTCAATGTTCCAAAAGAGAAAGAACAAGAGAAATCCTAGGAAGTGAAGTAAATTTAATGCCGGGGTTATTTATACTTATAGGATTGGAACGCCGGGCCTGAGTGGCCCGAATTCTGAAAGTCGAGTCCAGTTCAAAGCTGACAACGCTGGTCGGATCTGACCTGGCAAGTGAAGGTCCAACTGAGGCTGACCATGTTCAGACCAGGACTAGAATTATTCCTGGGTGTTACTCTGAAGCTGGTGTTTGATGGTATGTTCAATGAGCCAATCAAGGGAGGCAGACTGAAGGTGAAAAGAGAACATTAATGAGGACATCAATTATGTTGGCTTATTGCTATAGAGTAACTATGTGAACATAAAAGTGATCTAAATACAAAATTAAGGCTTTGTTTGGTTCACAGAAAGATTGAGCTGGAAATCTGAGAATAAAGAAATATGTAAACACTCTCTTATCAAACTTTTTGTGTAAAAAAGAATTAGTTTTATTTTTTAATTCTCTTAATTTCTTTTCTTTCTCTCTTTATTTAAAATTTCTTTCCTTTCAAATTCTTGACCTTAATGATATCAGTTCGATTGATTCCAAATTTTCTGGTTGAACTTCTACAAGATTTTGCAGGTGCTCTAAAATTTTGCAATCCTAAAAATTTTGCAGGTACTCTAAAATTGACTTCTACAAGGGTGAGAGTGGCTTTCAAATCAGGTATCATGACCTCACTATTTCTGTGTGTCATCTTGTTGAAGTGGTTTAAGAGGGAGGGAGGGAGGAGGGGAAGGATGAAGATAATTGGGAGAGAATGTTCAAAACTATAGGTTTATTGTAGTTTGTGCTTGTGACTATTAAGTTTTTTTATATTCCAGAAAATGACCCATTGTGGTTGAAGTAGTTAAAAAAATTCATTTAATAGTATTCAGACATCTTTAGTAACTATGATCTAGAAAGATAATTTTTTATTGAGAGCTACATCTTGTATAAAGTGGAGGTTCTGAGTGAGGTTGGGTAGAGACTGGAAAACCATATGCCCAATGAGGTGGGGGTAGATTCAGTTTTTTCAACTTTGGGGCATTTGCAGTTGTTTCGTTGCAAAGATGAACCTCATTTGTCATTTTGGTTTGTTCTGCAGGTTCAAATGGTAATTTAACTATTGAGGATTAAGTAGGTGTTGTTAAGGTAACAAAATTTGGTCTATACTTGAGTTAGGAAATTCATTATATCTTTAGATCAAAGAAGTTTAAAACCTTTTTGATTTTCAATAGCAATGACATTGATAATTGATTTTATTCAATTGTTTGTGACTTTAATTTTGTCATTTTATGATTTTAACATTGTTATATTAACAAAGTGATACAATGATGAACATCATAAAATACTCGGATGCCATCAAAATGATTATCTTTTTTTTTTTTTGACAGAAACAAGAGCAAGTATCTAAAATCAAAATTGTTATAGATAATCTGTTATGGACCTTCATTTCCTGACCACAAAAGACAAATGCATCATTTTTTTGCGAGTAGGATTCCAGGTGCACATTGACAGAGAAATTTGATTCCTAGTTCTGTCTCTGGAAAATTGAAATTGGAATGGATCAACTTGGCCAACAAATATTTAATCACTTCTCAATTGAAGAAAATTCACACACGAAACGGATTGTATAGGAGGTTCAGGTGAGGAATTAAAATCAAACCAGGTACCTTATAAGTTAACAACGGAGTTAAGACTTATCACCCAAAAAAAAAAAAAAAAAAACCAATGGAGTTAAACATGGCTCTGACTTCTTCAAAGCTGAACTCGTGCAATGCTCAGCACTCCGTTCAGATGCAAAATGCATGATCCATCATTACAAACACCTCAGTTCCATTAAAAATATTGAGAATATTTTAACGTGAGCCACTAACTTGATCCATTTAGAAGGTTTGAGACTGGCTAGAGTTTTTGAGTTAAGAGTTTATATTTTTAAAATTATTTTTGTAAGTTAAACTTATTATATATTTTAAATTTATAGTTTTTACATTTTATGTTATGTATATATTTTTATTTTTTAAGTATGAAATTTTTTATAGTATAATTTTATTATTTATCACATAATGAATTAAATTTTTAAAATATTTTTATTGGTTCAATAATTGACACACTGAATTATTGATTCAGTCACTGATACTTTAAACAGTTCATTATCCCTGATTCTGATAACTACGCTTGGAAGATGAATATAGGTTCTTTTTTTTGTTTTTTTTTTTTGGTTCAGTTTCTAAGCAGCAAGGTCAGTCAATTCTTTATTTTAGGAAGGCTCCCACGTGCCACTGATTTAGCTGAATTAGCTCTCGTTGTTGTCGCTGTTCTCTTACTGAAGCAACGGAGTAAGGAAGTTACTCCACTGTTAAGTGGAGGAAATGGAATTCATATGTCACACAAGAACTGCTCAAGGTTGGAGGGAGGGCGACAGGCGGCTAGAAGAGATCATTCCACATAAGGAATAGAGAGGAATCCCCTAAAGAGAAATGGGAAAACCTATGCTGCTAGAACTCCGAGTGAAGGCAACTCTATGCTTGGGAGACGAGTAGTCTTTCTTTTTTTTTTTTCAGTTTCTAAGTTGGAAGAGAAATGAGAGTTCCAGGCTTTGAAACATAACCTCCAGTGGGAATCTATTCCAGCAAAAAAACAAAAACAAAAAAAAGAAAGGATAATATTGGCAGGACCAAACCTAGGTTTTTTTTTTATAAATGGATGTAGGGTACCTGATCAGCCGATGTTTTTTCTGGTGGCCAAAGAAGTTTCAAACAATAGGTGAAGGTGGTGTCATTAATCATTGGAAGGATTATGCATTGAAATTCTATTATAGTAAGTAAAGTTTTTGTTTTTGATTAATCTAAGAAAGCAATCTCATATTCCCTCCTCACAAATTATTGGAACAGTTACGCTCGTCTCATCATCTATAACCCTATCATCTGGTTCTAACCGGTTCAATCTCAGAGGTAACTATCACGTAGAAAATCGTTAAAAAACATCAGAGTTCACACTAACGTTGACTTGCATCTGCAGACTTACGAAAAACCAATACGTTAGCGTTAAGCAAGGTTTCCCACGATTCATGTTTGTAGAATATAAGGTGAGAGGGACATGTATCTTGACAATGTTCTAGACAAAAATTAATGTTGTATGTCCGAATGCGTTCTTGGGACATTCATTTCCTTCGGCTGGAAGGGATATTGCTTTTTGTCATACCTAGAGCAGAAAACTGTATTATAGCTTTTGTCATCATTAAATGATTGAATACCCACAAATATCGATTTATATGTAAACCTAAAACTTAATTGTCAATCAATCAACTTATATCTTCCTTCAGCCAACTTCCCCATCAAGCTAAAGGGAGATGTTGATTTGGCGTTAATTGTATGTATATCTAATCAAGTTAAATCTATTTCAATGCCTAGCTTGAGCTTTTTCTTTTACTTGAGTTTGGGAATTAAAATAGCGAAAGAAAGGTAATGAATCAAAGGTAATTGAATTTTTTTTGTTTTTTTTTTGGCATTTGATTTAGATTGGAGTAGTAGTTACTCCATTCAATAACCTACCATTACTGGCATCAATCATTGACCCCAACAAGTGATAAAAAAGAAAGGTGTGGGGATGTTGTTTTGTAAAAATAAAGAGGGAAGTGATGTAGCCATAAATGGAAGGGGTGGGATATAATGAAAAGTGCGTCGCTGGGTTGACAGGGACGGCACTAGACTAGAGAGTTATGTAAATGTGCATAAAGGAAGACTGCAACCGCAAGAGTGGCGAAGCCTGGCCTGACTGCCTGCCTGCTATCCAAAAGGCCTTTCTCTTTTTTTTTTCTTTTTTTTTTCACATATGAGGTTTATAACTTCATAATGTAAAATGGAATGGACATGATGATTAGTGTGGTCGTATTTTTGGTTGTTGTGTTTGGTGCATTCCATGCACGTATCCCCATTCGAAATTAAAGCATCTTGGGACCAAAACCAAACAAAGTTGGAGGAGTTTGAGTTGGGGTTGCTTCTCTTATCCGTATTTTACCTGCAGCAGCATATAAGCTGATGAGAGTTTAACGCTTCCTTTGTGGTTTTTGTGGACATGATTTTGAATCTTGTTGCCTGCAAATCTCACAAACTTCACCTTTCATTTAAATGCCTTGTTTACTCACTACTACACATTATTTATTTGCGTGTTTTGCTTTGCCACATTTGGTTTCCTCGATGAATTTACCTTTTTTTTTTATTGGAGGGGCTAAATGCTAATTATGAACTTTCTATTATTGCTTCCATCATAGCTTCATTAAATGGGTAGCATCATGAAAGTGCATACAAGGCAATTCTAAAATGTATCTTAGCGGAAAATTCACCTAAGTAGTAATCTTTTCGATGTATTCTGATATAATATTTTGTCATGACGATGACTTATAACTTTCCAATCTTAATTTAAAGTTGTATCTGTCTGCACCAACCGACTTCACACACACATATAATATATATATATATATATATATATATATGTTTGAAAGCAAATTCATTTACCACTACTTTGTTACAAGAACCTAAACCCCAAAAAAGGGTGCAGATGGCTAGCGGAAGAACAAGGGTTTGTGCTGATTAAACTTTCACCAAAATTACCCCTTCGCAATTTCCATCATCACTTTATTTTGCATCCCAAATTTCGTTTGTTATTCTTCCTTTGGGACAAGAAAAGGTCAGCGTCGTCTCATCTGTCACGTGCTTAGGCCTCGGAGCATTTTGCCTCCAAAATAAACATGGCAAAACACAATTTCACCTCCACAAATAAAATAAACGTAGCATTTCTGTGAATTTAATTAGGCCTGAAAATATACATTATTATTAGAAATAAAGAGAATCAGCTGGCTAATCCACAATCTACAAAGGGTAAAAGACAGTATGTGTTTTTTCATATTACAATAGTCAATGGGAACTGGCAGACAGGTTCTCCTTTTATGCCACTTCACTTATTGATGACGTGTCATATCCTAGCTGGACATTGCCACCCTGTCAACCTTTTTAATTAAACCTCTCCCTCACTTTAGTGTCACGTGATCCCTGTCTCGAACCACCGCCCCTACCTGATGATCTGTCTCTCGAACCTAATACTTTACCTGCCATGTAGGCTCGGACAACCGTTTATACCCGAACCTACCCCAAAAAGAAACAAAACCAAAAACAGTAAACAATCAATAAAAAACCAAAAACAAACTAATAAAACCATACATTCACCGATTCACGCTCTTTGTCGATGCCAGTTTCATTCATCAGTTATTTAGAGCAAGGCGTCAATGCTCTGCATCTTCTCTAAGAAGCCAAAATCATGAAAAAGTAAAACCCACACAAACCCATCGAGAAGAGAAAGCAGAGAAGCAATAAAAAGAAAGAAGATTCAGAAGCAAGAATCAAACAACAAAAATAAGTCTTCTGTCTTTCTTTCTCTTTGATCTTTGCTTCTTTTACAAGCCAATCTTGTTTTCTTTTTATATATATTTCTCTTTCTATAATCTTTGATGCTGATCGTTTCGCCATTAAAAGTTCTCATGGTGTGTCCCACGAGAAACCGGTAGTCTTCTCTCAGGTAAAAGCTACCTTCGCCAACCCAAAGCCTTCCCTTTTTGTCCTTATATAAACCATTCTTCAACTTCCCACCTCACTGCTTCACTTGAAAACCCGGTCTTTTTTGATCGATGGGTAAACAAGGAAGAATGAGAGTGGTTCCTTGTGCTCTGTTTTTAGTTGCTCTGTTTCAGTGTAGATTCTTGGCTTTTGCAATTTTGGACCCACTTGATTTTTTAGCTTTACAATCCATTAGAAAGTCTCTCAATGACTTACCTGGCTCCAATTTTTTTGCTTCCTGGGATTTCACCTCCGATCCTTGTAACTTCGCCGGCGTTTACTGTGAATCCAATAAAGTGATAGCTGTTAATCTGGGTGATCCTCGTGCTGGTTCGCCGGGTTTAACTGGAAGGATAAACCCGGCCATTGGTAAACTGTCTGCTCTCGCCGAGTTATCTATCGTTCCGGGTCGGATCTATGGGTCGTTGCCGCAGTCAATCTCGCAATTGAAGGACCTTCGGTTTCTTGCAATCAGCCGGAATTTCATCTCTGGGGATATTCCGCCGACTCTTGGCCAATTGAGAAGCCTTAAAACGCTTGATCTTAGCTACAATCAGCTCACCGGAGAAATCCCTCGCTCCATCGGAACCTTGCCGGAGCTCACCAACGTTATTCTTTGCCACAACCACCTCTCTGGTTCGATCCCTCCGTTTCTCTCCCAAGTCGTAACCCGGCTGGACCTCAAACACAATGCTCTCACCGGGTCGCTCGCTCCAGACTCCCTCCCTCCTTCTCTCCAGTTCCTCTCTCTCTCCTGGAACCAGCTGACTGGGCCGGTGGACAGGCTTCTATCCGGGCTTGACCAGTTAAACTACCTAGACTTGAGTTTGAACCAGTTCACCGGTCCCATCCCGGGCCGGTTGTTTTCATTTCCTATTACAAACCTTCAGTTGGAAAGAAACTTGTTTTCTGGTCCAGTCCAACCGGCTGATCAAGTGACAATATCAACCATTGATCTGAGCCACAACAGACTGTCAGGTCAGATATCACCAATGTTCTCGACCGTACAGAATCTTTACTTGAATAACAACCGGTTCACTGGTCAGGTCCCGGCCAGCTTTGTGGACCGGTTATTATCCGCCAGCATACAAATACTTTATTTGCAGCATAACTATTTGACCGGTATCGAGATTAATCCGACGGCCGAGATTCCTGTAAGCAGTTCTCTATGTCTACAGTACAACTGCATGGTACCGCCCGTACAAACGCCGTGCCCATTGAAGGCTGGGGAACAGAAGACTAGGCCTACTGCCCAGTGTAACGAATGGAAAGGATAGCTCGGTAATTTTGAGGATCTTGTGAGGGGTACTTTTGAAAGAAAAGTTATAAAAAATGGGAATTTGGATTCATTAATTTTGTGGGTAAATGGTGAAATAAGAGAGTTTGTTGATACATTAGAAATTGTAATTTGTAATTTTTATTTTGTTGTTTGTTATGACCATAATATATTAAATTAATACTATTAATTTTGGGTGACAAGGACCGTTTGGGATGGTTGTGAATAGGGTATGCCTTTAATAGCGTTTTATTTTTTTAATGCCCACATCTTTCTACCAAACCAAAAACTTTTATTTACTTCATATGCCTTTGAATTGTCCTTTTTGCATTTGGCGAACAGACCAGAATCAATATTTCAACATTATGATATTAAATTTTCTTCTTTCTCCATAAATGACTTATTACATTGCTGTGAGTCCAAATTAAAAATTCATTTTTTTTTTTTTAAATCGAAGAAGTCTTGCATTTGTAATACATTTTTTTACAACAAAAAAAAAGTTGTAATTTGATAATAAAAAAATTTGTGTGTTAAAATTTAAATATCAAATTTATTAAATATTATTTAATAATTAATTAATCAATTGAATTAAATTTTAAATTTATTTATTATATATTTATTTTTTTCGACATGTGAAAACCCCTATGACATTAAGCAATATAACAACAGCCCACTCACTCATGTTTTTATAAACTTATCTCTTTGTGAAGATTCCAATGCAATATTTTTAAGGGTTTTAACTTTTAATACCAAAACAAAATTCACAACATGAATCTCTTACCAGGTACCAGTAGATTATAAAATAAAATGCCTGATGCAATAGAATTGGTATGGTCACTTTGGAATTAGGACATTAGTATTAGCACGACAACTACATTGGTCACATGTTCCACAATTTGCTAGCCGTTTGATGTGAATATTATTGGTTAGGCCCATAAAGATGAAAGCAGTCATGATTTATCAGCGATTGGTCTCTTTTAAAACTGGGAGCCACACTTCCATGTTCCACATTTGGGGGATTTCCGTACCAAGAATTGGCCTTTCTTTGATGGGTAGCTGAGTTTGCTTTGTTTTAAGGTTTGATGGTATGCATTTGTTTCTTGTTTTCTTTTCTTTTTAGAAGGGACGTGTGGGGTAAAACTCATGCTTCTTTTGTTTTTGCAGCTTTCCATTTGCACGGGCCTGAGAATGGCAAAAAACAATACAATCATCTATCTACCCATAACTCATGAAAAATATCATCATTGCCATTGAGGCCAGCTTAGCTACACCAATGCACTTGTGTTTATCACACTCTTGGAGTTCTCCTTTTCACAAGCCCTATCATGAAAAATTCAAGGTTTGATTCAACACACTTAGCTATTTAATTCATCAATTAATAGAACGAGCAGATAGTGGTCCTAGTAGGTTAGTTCCCCTTAATAATGAGAAAAAAGAATCAAAACCATCTCTTTCACCATTTTTATTTGCTTGGTTCCTTTGGCAATTCACAAATGAGAAAAAATAAGAGTAGGTGTGATTGAGACTCGAGTTAACATTATAATAATGGACAGTTTATGGGCACATGGAGCAGAGCAGATGTTAGTCTGTAAAACTCAAATTTTAACCTATTTGTTTTACAGGTTAGTTGGGGACGGTTCTGGTTGGCAATTGGCAAAAGCCAGAAAGGTTAACACACATTTTCCATGATGGATCTTTTTTGACACACTAATAAAGTCAAATGCTACCACCGTCTACTTCTCCCTTTCTGTTGTTGAATTTCTTATAATCAGAAATCTTGCAAATGATTTGGCCAAACAAGACCTAAAATTCTTTTTATTTGCCTTTTATGTGTTTTCATATGGATAATCTAACAAATAAAAGACATGGAAATACACAGTAAAGATTATACCATTAGGTAGATGCCGGACCATCACATTTACCCAAAAGTCAATCAGATAAAAAATCATAGACAATGACAGAATGCAAGTCTGAAAATTGGGTATATGGACTGTGGAGTTGTTGTTGAGATTTAAAAAAAAAATTGGGACAAAGATAATGTCCTGAATGGAGTGGAGGCCTTGAACTAGCTTCTCTCAGGAAATTTTGTCAACCTGATTAAATGGTGGCCCTCATAGCTGTTTTCTGGTGTAATTATCAAGTAAAGCAACTCTTTGATTATGTTATTATCCTCAATCTGCCTAAGTAGGGGCCCTTATTTCTTACATGTTCCCTCATCATTTTAAGGTCCCCTAATGATTTTCAACCCCATAGCTTTTAAACAAAAATAGGGATACAGCTGAAACTGATGACCAATATCGATATGCCATTAAGACACAAAGAAATTGAGTACCCAGTGCTTGGTTGCTGCTCTCAAAAGTTATAATATTCTTGTTACTTTCAATGAGAAAACACTCTTTTTCTACATGTACAAGAAAAGAGCTTTCTAAAATTAAGCTTGCTAACACATACTCCTTAATCAGAAGATCGTTCAGTTTTGCAAGTAATGAAAAAAAAAAAAAAAGTTATACTAAAATAAAACTGAAGGGATTTTTTTTGCACAGAGTGAAAATCCGCTTACTCTATCCAAAGTGTCTTCTTTCAACAGTCTACCTAAAACAGTAGAAGCAGACAACAGAAGAGATAATTTTTAAACTTGCATGTATATTAGGTATTGCTTTCTAGTAAGTGTTATACCTTTGGAGGGTGGGGGGGTGACTTTACATTATATTCAATAAATAAACTACGATGCTATGATGAAAGTATTGTTTTTATCAAATAGGTAAATTGTATACCAAGAAGGAATGATGAGGCATTATTTTCCAAGGAACTAAAAGTTAAACAACATGTGCCTATGTAATATGTGTGAGAGAAAAGAAAGTGAAGATTTTACGATACCCAAAGATAGGGTATGATGAGCACTATTTTGCAAGAACTTTAGTTTTTCTTTTAAAGAATGCCTTGATGATTTTGCCTGGTTTGATCCACTGTCCATGGTTACGTTTTCTGGCGTTCCCTATACACAGACCTGATTGGGATTCTTGAAAAAACAAAAAAGCATTTATTTTCCATTTTTTATGGCACCCAAAAATGTGGCGAATAGTAATAGTAGAAGTTAGTAGCCTGCCTTATAGAAAGAATACAAATCTGGTATCAACTTATCTTAGGGTTTTCTTTTTCTTTTTTTGTAAAACTTGGAAAAAGTAATACCAAATTCTTGTGATGAAAAAAGGATAAGTTTCCGAATATCTTAGATTCAATTCCCAAACCAATTTGAATGAGTGTATTGTTACATCAAAAGAAAAAAAAAAAAAACTTTTTTCAGTAGAAAATTTCTTGGTTCTTGAATTGAATGAAGTGAATGGTTTTAATCTTTTAGATCATAAATTTAATGATGGAAAAAAGATTGGATAAAATTTTAGTACTAACAAAAAAACTTAAATGGGCCTGAAAGCTGGAACCCATTTGCATTACTAAGGTACATTTTTGCCGTTTCTTTGCAAAAGGTGCTTGGCATATAAGGCCCACCACATATTGTTTGTTCATTGAGGCCGAGAGATATATCCACATGAATCCAAACAAATATTCGTTTCTTCCTCGACAAAACCTCAAGAAATTGAGAGGGGCAGGCGTCTCTTGCAGGCTTTACACCTTTAACCAACAAACACTAACAGCTAGCATTCAACGGACATACATACAATATGGTTCCACCTTCTGCTTTCTTTTTCTCTTTTTCTTGGCTTCATTGGTGTAGTTGAAAAGCATTAGTTACCACGAAAGTTCATTTGTTGAAAGAATTCTACAAAGCACAAATATGTCATCATCATCACAAACTTACTTCTGATCGAAACTATATTGTAATGATTCTTGTTTCCACATTGCAGAACGAGCTCGTTGCATTCATTAACTTGTTCTCAAGGAATATACATCAGAGTGGGAAAAAGATGAAAGAGACCAATCCACCACGCAGCACGATCTTCGTGCAGAATCAAGGAAGAAAAACAGAGAGGGTTTGGATGAAGCATAGATAAAACTTACATAGAGAGTTGTATTGTTTATTTACGTACAGCTAAAAATTTGAATACATGGAAGTGCATTTCATGTTGTTAAACAATTACACCTTTTTCAATACTGCAAAATAAACCATAGTTGCTATTTAAAACAACATACAGTTAACAATAACATATATATAGTATGATTATAGCTTACGGATGATACAGGTGGCCTTCAATAGTAATATCGCCTCCGGATTCTCTTCTTGCTCACAGAAGCTGGTGCTTGTCCATTATCAGGGAATTCCCACTTAACCACATCCCCATCCCAAGAAGAGCTGACCAGCATGGGGTAGTGTGGGTGCCAACTACAGTCTCTTACTGGTGAGGTATGGTGCTTCAGTACTGCAACTTGGGCTCCCGTTGCCTATAAGGTATAACCATGTTATTACCCTCAATAAAAGAGAATTTTCTAGTATAGTACTGCTCACACATTTTTGCTATTCATGCAATGGCTTAACACATTATGCTGCAGTCTTTAATTTACATTCATTTGCCAGCATAATCACTGCATGGCATCTTTATCATATGGCAATAGGCATTTTTGTAAAATACACAATTACACCTTTTTTCTTTTTTGTAACTCAAGATAGTGCACATTGGAACTATAGCTGATCGGCATAAAACTCCGGGTAACAAATTGAATCCAACACAGAGCATCTTAGTCTTATATCTACACAATATGTCAATGCTGCATGCAATAGCGACTCTAAATGCAAGCTATACGAAAAGCATACCAGATTTGGTTACTTACCACATCATAAATATAAACCCGAGAATCATGAGATCCAGTGTAAATGTACTTCTGACCCGTGCTGCAATAACAGATTCAAGAAATTGATGACATGTTAATAAATGCTTTATCCCAGAGCCAACAGTGAGATAAAGAAAAATATCTCGTTAACTGAGAAAAGAATTTAAACACCACTTATTCCTAAGTTGATTCGACAAAGTATTTGACTAATACCAAGCAAACAGCTTTCTATCATTCAAATAATCACCCAAGTTTCGGCTAAAGATAAGGAAATACAGTAACACTCACCTGTATTCTGGGGAAAAGTAACAGCGAATAAGAGTCCGCAAGACTGAGTGACCCTTATAAGTAGCCACTGATTGGTCACATGGGTGTTTCAAATCTCTAGCCTGTGGTGGGTAGTCCATCCATCTGTAATCCCATTCATAATTCCTAAAACCTAAATTGCTGCAATAACATAAAAAAAATGTCTTTAACTTAAGCTGTCTATTAAGCATTTTCAATCTAGAATGATGTTAAATAAAGCACCAATTGTTGGCTCCCACAAACTCAATCCATTGTATTTAAACTGGACATTGCTTTAACCAAAATCAATCTAGTAAATTGAATTCAAAATCCTAACTATTCTTATGATCAAACTACCACTGAAATTCAAACTGACAGTAAATTAAGTTCTGTTAAATAGGATGAAACTTACATACTCATGTAGAGAAAATCTACACTATGTTGCAGTTTCTACTATCATGAAATTAAAGAAAACTTGCAACAGCACCGCGGGAAGCCAGAAAATAAGCATACCAAGTGGTATTGGAGGACATTTTTCTGATATCCCAAAGCTTGATAGTCTGATCTTTACCATTTGATATGAAATAACGACCATCTCCACGACTGTCAAGATATGTTATACCTTCCATGTGTCCCATCAAGATCCCTGCTGGCTTATCTTTTGCAATGAAGCAACGTCTATCCCACACCTAAACAAAATTAAATATTATTGTCCATTGCTTAATCAAAAGTGAAAATAAAGCATATTTACAATCCCACATTTTCAGTAATGTGTTCAGGCTTTTTCTAAAAGGTACCTTCGAATGGTGTTGTCTTTGACTTTTAGTGTTAGTGAATGTGTGGTTACTAAAATACAGAAAGAAAGCAACAAACTCGTTGCAACTAGCCAAAACCTTTTCAAACTATTATGAACTAAACAACCAGATAAAAAACAACCAGATAAAAAATAATGGCCTTGGAAAGGTATTATACTTCTGGTGAAATTCACAATAAAAAGAATATAATAAAAGTATTTAAGAAACAAGGATGATAACATCTAAACATACTATGCATAAGAAGACTTGAATTTACCTTGCAGAGATTATCATCACTCCCAGAATATATCAAATTGCCACTTTCATCAGCAAAGGTTACTGTGTTAACATCAGCCTGCAAGATGAAACACAAATCAACTTCAGGACCCCTGAAATTATAGATCCATATATGGAAAATAGTCACCACATTACATGTAATCTTCCTACATTAAAGTGGGAAACAAGGTCAAGTGAATTAAACGACAGCAATCCAAAACAAAGCATTATACTTAGTGAGTGGATCTTACAAACACACATCGGTTCCTAGGATATTCAGTCCCTTGATTATCCTATTCATGCAACATCCATGCACTTTAATGCCGATATAGACAAGACAAGAACTTTTGAGACATTATAAAGGAAGGACAAATATCTAAGGCAACAGTTCAGACTCTAAATTGCATCTGTTTAACTTAGATACAGCCACAAGCGGGCAGAGGCATCCAATACAAGAGAAAAATAATTACATTTTATTACATGGGATAAAATAGTATCAATTCTCTATATAAATATTATTCTCAAGGAAGCCAAATGTTTCAACTTCCAGTCATTTTATTATTAGTCATATCTAAACAAATTCAGGTTACTTGACGACAAGGACTTCAATTATAAGCATAGTAGCAAACATAATCTTTAAAAGTAGTGAGACACAATCACTTAACAGTGGTTGATAGGGCTAAGCTGGTACATAGATTAGTCTCTAGTTATTTAAGAAACAGTTTCAGACATAAACCAGCCAGTATAAAACTGCTATAGGTAAAAATCAACAATATTCAAGAAATAAAATAATCATAAAACGACATGCTTATCATATCAAGAATACACTAACAGTGAACCCACCGTGTGAGACACAATTCGAAGGGAAAGCTTGTTTGCCTCAAGATCATAAACATATATTGAGTCATCACTGCTTCCAGCAACAAGTTCTCGTCCGTCAGTTGAAAATTTCACAGAGAATATTCCAAAAGAATAACATCCATCATTAGCAGCAGAAAAGTCCAATCCTTCATGGATCTCCTGCAAAACATTAGAACTGTGACCAAAAAGATTGTCGGGAAAAATAATGCTTGGATGAATATACAAAGACATCCTCGATCAACATATTTCATGTTGTTCAACCTCCAACCACAAATACTACCCTCAAAAATATGATCATTCTAGTTAATCTATTCATTTTCACCTTTTAAAGATATACATATATCTAATAGTCAGGTTGGATGTTATCATCTTAAACAATTATCTTCCTGACCCAGAAGTTTCTGAAGTGTTTACCTAGGTCCTCACGGCCCAATTCAAGTCCTAAATTCTAACTATAGATGGGAACCAAGATCAGGTACCAAATATCTCTATTCTGCAAATTGAAGTTCTGTGAAAAGCTCCATGCTAATAAAATAATTTATTGGCATGGTCAGACTTTTAACACTGCTAATAACAAGTTTTAAAAGATGGTATTCATGACCAGAAGACAAACAGATATTGCAAGAACTAAACTCCCAACCCCAATTATGGGCTTTAAGTTGCCAGCATGAGAGTTTTGTATGCGAAGCCAGTAAATAATTGCCACCCCAATTTCAAAGATTAAAAAGAAGAGCATTTTACCGTGATATTTGCAAGGGATTCTGTGGTAGCGTGCCCGACATTAACAATATGAACTATAGGTGACATGCTGGTATAAACCTGAAACAAAGGAATAGAAATTTGATTAAGATATCTGTGACAAACATGATATTTAAGCCCATTGAGAAACAAAGCTTTGAGTCACCAGATTCAAACAATATTAGTGTAATAAAAATGAAAATTAACATGTACGGAAACATTCATTCTCTATTTGGAGTTTGAAAGAAACTAATCCAAGTCAACATCCTTAATTTCATATCTTATAAATCATTAGAAAATGGTTTGCTTGAATAATGATGGTTGCTCTTCAATTTAAGAGTATTTTTCCATCTTTATTTCTTGATCTTTTAATCTTCCCCGTTATTTGCACTTTGTAGGACGACTTTAGGTCAGCAGACTATCAACCTAGTTATCAGTGCACAAAAACATTATACAAAAACTTGAACATTGAAGCAGACAGATGACCAGACAGTGAAGGCAGACACAGGTGCAAATACAGAGATGCAGACAAATCTATTATGTGGACTACAAGCTCTGAGCAGGCATTGGATTCATTCTTCAGCACAAGTTCATGAAACAATATCCTATATTTGTTCATTTTTAGTACACAAAACAAGGATCAGGACTCCAGAGAATAAAGTTCTGTCCAGTATTGTTTTGTCATGCCACATTGAGAGTAAGACCACAATATTCTGTATGATACACTAATGAGTTTGGCACTCAAAAGCTATCTGCTACTTCTTATCACCATGAATCCTTGTTTGTAAAGAAACCTAAAGTGCTATTAGAATCCTCAAAAGTTCAAGCAAAGGGTGACAAAGTGGGAGGCTTTTAATCTATTCAGCACTTGAAATGCATTATCTTAGCCACAATGATCCCTTTCATATTTTACTCCATAATATTCTGTCTCATAGAAGCAGCATTTTCAAAAAATTCAAGTTGACATGAAGGAAGACACTGAGCACATGTTAAAACTAGATAGGTGGAGTTTATTCCAGCAATAAATTCCCTTAGCATCAGAAATTTTGTTTAAAAAAATGACATGTAAAAGAAACACAATTGGAAATCATTAAGCGCTCTCTTACATTCAAATATAATTAACCATATCCAGCACAAACTCACAAGATAGCGCTGATCTGGAGAAAGGGATGTGTCAGTAACTGTCCATCGCAAACTTTTAGCAAGAATGTCCTTCTGAACTTTCCAGCCTCTATCCACATTGTATATCCTAATATGGCTTCCCTAAAACCAAATATTCACAATCAAATTAAATCAAACTTATTAGTACCTATAATCAAATCAATTCAATGTCAAGTCAATCTCACTCAGTCATAAGACAATGAACAAATACCTGAAACCCAGCAACAAAAAGAGAGCCATCAGCTGAAAATTGAGAAACATAGGCCCGGCTGGTCATCTGGTCCACAAGCCAAGGACCATTTACCGGTAAATATCTGCTAAGCATGTGACAGCAATCTGCTGATGAGAATCTTCCTCTTCCTGAATAATTACCTTCTCGACCAGCCAACATCTTCACTGGGGAAACAGGTGATTGCTGCTTTCCAGGCATGAGTTTACGCAATCGTTCATGAGGATTTGATCTGAGGTTTGTAAGCTGGGCAATCTCGTGGTCTACATTATGCAATGGTTTGTTGGACCTATTACTGCTGCCAGCTTCATTGGTGACATTACCACCATCAAACAACTCAGATTCTATCTCCAGCCTACTCATGGCATACCCCATTTCATCAATGGCAACCCCACTGGCAGTAACAAACATTTTTTAATATAAAAGCGCTGCTGATATTTTCGTATTACTAATACATATACATATCTGTTAAACCTTTATACCAAAGGACAAATTTTTTGGGTTCTTAACCTGTCAAACCTTAAAAAAAAAAAAAAAAAAAAAAGAAATTGGGTATATGAAGAGTTTTAAAAAGCCAAAAAACAAAAAAGGGATTTGTGATAGACAAGCAAACTCATGATCAATAGTCAAGAAAACGAATTTCAGCACAGTTTGACCAATTTAAAGTCATTTTCATACCCAAAAAAAGGTGTAAGAAAACCCAAAACAACGAAAAGGTTTTTGCTTTTAATTCGCTAAAATCCACATATTTGTAAATCTACCACCATAAATTTAGTGATAACCATGATATTTAAAGCAAACCCAGTTCCGAATAGAAGCCAAAAGGTAAACTTTCTTCTTTAGTTACTCAGCATCTGTTATAATTATCGCCAAGTCAAATTGTTTGCACAGAATAGAATACTTACAAAACAAAAGCCTTATCCAAAGATTCGATCGTCAAACAAAAAGAAAACCCAAATTTACTTGAACACAAGTAACAACTAACAACAAAACTGAAAAAGAGTCAACCAAAGCTTACCTGTTTTTGTTCTGTTACAGAGTTCTGTAAGTCTTTATATCCTGCCGAGACTCAGTCAGACTAGGCGATTGCCAGTTATGTTATAGGGTTTGGGTTTGTTGATGATTTGAGTGGGTGCTATAAGTACCCCTAATCCCTATGCATGTTGACACGTGTCCTTTAATATCATTTTCTGGTGTTTCCTAAAACTGTATGTCCTTCAAGTTTTAACCTTGCAATTCATTTTTCTCGTACTAATATCATACCAATATCAATATACTAAAATAAATAAATATGATGGATTTAACTCCGATAAGATTATTGACATATGTAAATCAATTTAAAATTTTTTTTGTGGCAACCTCAAAGCCCGCAGTCACATTACTTGAATGATAATGACCACACATACTTTTTTTTCTTCCTTGCCTGAAAGTAACTTCTCAATACTGTAACGTGCTACACACCTCCTTGCATTTTATGTTTTAAGGTATAAATTTATCCACTATAATTACATTTATGTGAATGATTTAAATTTTTCATCAATTTTTTAATTGGTATAATTTTATCCTTACATTTTTAATTTTAAAATAATTTTATTGTTACATTTTAAATTTTAAAATAATTAAAGAATATTCAATAAAATCATTAAAATCTGTTTTATAATTCAAAAGATACGACTTGGAAAAATATCAAGTCTAACTGAAAATATAATGATGCATTATATGTAGGAGAAAACGCTGTCATGAAATAAGAAAAAAATAATTTTTTATATTATGTGACATTATATTTATTAAAAAATATATAAGAAAATAAATAAAATAAAATTTAAATTTAAGCTTCATAATTATTTTTTACATGTCATATCATTTTTAGATTATATTTTTCAAACTATAAAACAGTTCCTAACAGAAATATTTATTGAATATTTTTAATTACTTTAAAATTTGAAATATGATGAAAAATTTACTCTAAAATTAAAATTTAATAATAAAATTATATTAATTAAAAGATTGATGATAAATTTAAATTACTTTCCTAAATAATAGTGGTAAATGTGTACTTTTATTTTTTTTTCTTTTAATTCTTTCTATATCTTGACAAAGTTGGATCATTTGATGGTTGGTACTTTTAACCAATGATAATAGTTAGAAAAAATTGTTTTTGTCTTTGAAAAGAACATGTAAAAATTTCGACCCGACCCGGTATCTCCGCCAATAGCATTTGCAAGGGTAAATGTAAGATCGGAGGATTTTCGGTTTTTAACGTTAGCCATCAAATCCCAAGCCATTGCATCCCCATCCGTTTCGATCTTGGAATCGTCCTGTTCACTAAAACCCTCCTTAAAACCTAAAAGTAAAACCATGTCTCCATTACTATCCCAATGAAGCGCGTGTTCAAAATCTCGGACGGAGCAGCCCAATCAGAGGTGCTACCAAATCTCCACAGGCACCCGTCAAAACGCAAAATCCCACTTTTTTTACTCTTCCAAAATCCTCTCTTTACAGATTTTATGGCGACTCTGGCGCCCCGACCAACCACTCTCCGCTGCCCTGTAAGTTTTCCAGCAACATTATCGACTCGTTCATTGAAAAGCTTTCTCAGGGGATCCCCCGAACGATCCCAAAGAAGAGCTGACCCCGAAAGTGGTTAAGTTGAGAGATGAATTGGTAAAGAGTGTTGATTGTTTAGGGGAAGTAATCAAGGTTTTGGATGGGAAAGGTGATTTTTTACTTGGGAGTTTTGAATATCAGGATACTGTGCCTGTGCATACCAAAAAACCAATGACCGTTTTTTTTCCTAGTTATTGAAAATTTTGAATTCTTGGCCTAAGTTGGCCGTGGAGGTATGTATTTCTATTTTTCCTCCTTTTAACTGAAAATTCATTTGTTTGAATTTAGAACGAAATCTATCTAGGTTTATGTTTTTTGTGGGTTTTGTTTTAGTGCTTAGTTGGGGGGTGTTTCGGAGCTCCAGTGTGGACATTGGTATATATTGGATTTTGTTTTCATATTAGACTGTTTCTTCAGGTGTTTAATTGGAGGAGAAAAAAGGCAGAACAAAGCTATCCCATGACAGCGGAAGAATATGCTAGTGGTATCAGCATGTTTGGTAGGATTAAGAATGTAGATCTTGCACTTGAGCTCTTTGCTGAGGCTGCTAGTAAGCAGCTCAAGACAACATCTACTTACAATGCGTTAATGAGTGCCTATAAGCATAATGGTGTGGCTGACAAATGTCAACCAGTGTCTCGGGATTTTAAAAGGGAAAAGAGTTGTAGTCCTTCGATTGTAACATATAACATTCTTATATCAGTCTTTGGTCGTTTGATGCTAATAGATCACATGGAGGCAACATTCCTAGAGGTTCAAAATTTAAACCTCGTCCCTAATGTAAGTACCTATAACAATTTAATTGCTTCATATGTGACCGCTTGGATGTGGGATAGCATGGAAAGAACTTTTCATTTGATGAAGGCTGGACCCATTAAGCCAGATATTAACACTCACTTGCTGATGCTTCGAGGATATGCACGCTTGGGGAAATTGGATAGGATGGAAGACATACCAAATGATAAAACATCACGTTGATGACAAGGAAATGCCATTGATTAGAGCCGTGATATGTGCATATTGTAGGAGTTCTGTCAAGGATAGGACTAAAAAGGTTGAGGAACTGTTAAGGCTAATTCCAGAGAATGAATACAGGCCTTGGTTGAATGTGTTGCTGATTAGACTTCATGCTCAGGAGAATCATTTAGAGAGCATGGAGAACTTGATTAATAAGGCCTTTGAGCAGAAGACATCTGTATTCACAATACACTTGATGCGTTGCATTATCACAACTTATTTCCAATACAATGATGTGGACAAACTGGCAAATTTTGTAAAGCGTGCAGAATGTGCTGTATGGAGAATATGCAAATCCTTGTACCACTGCAAAATGTTCATGTATGGATCACAGAAGCACTTGGAAGAAATGGAGAATGTCCTTAACGAAATGGATAATGTCAACTTGGATCACACACAAAAGACACTTTTGGTATTATACAAGGCATACTCAATGTGTGCTACCAGACGTAAGGTTGAGCAAGTAGGTGGGATTCATATGCAAACGTGGCTATAGGATTCCTTTTGAACCATATATATCATAAACCTTTTGTAGCAATATTCCAGCAGAAGTTGCAAGAATCATTTAGCCAATGAGCATTTGTGGCTCATTATGATCACAACACTGAATAGAGATTTCAAATTACCCATAGGTATGCATCTTGTCTCAGTATAGGTCTTGATTGACATTCTCTCCCAATTGATAGGTGTTTCATGAAATGTGTCAAATAGGAAAGGATACATTGTGTAATTAAGCCATAATAAGTTATTTGATAATTGCTAGATACCTAGAAGAATTAGTAATCAATTGTTTGTTGATTGGCAACAGATTATTTCTGTGACCTAGCAGTTTATCGTCTCCCTGTCCTACAATTTATACTAACTTAACCTGGCTAGTGGTATCTTTATTATGAATTTAAGCTATAGAAATACCTGTATTGTGAAACTTAATCTCACAGCCAAATTCCTTAAATTGCAATTTCAGGAACTTACTTCTTCATACCGATGAAAGATTAGTTAACTTGCTAGGGATTAGATGCAATCTGAAAATCATTGCAAGTCTATTAGCAAGATGCTACTTGAAAATAATTCTGAATTCCTAAACCCTGGGTATTATTTTTTCTATATTATGATTAGAAATTAGAAATTATGCATTTTGTCTGATGCACACATGTACTTGCTTATTCTTCAAACTAAATGAAGATATTCAATTTGGTTTGTGTTTATTCTTATGGTTTTGTACTGCAATTGACTGGCTGTCCTTGTAATTGCAGAAAGTGCTTACATTATTTGATGGGCTGAGACTATCCTTAAGCTGATTGCAGCAGAAGGGGAATAAAATTCACTGCCTTCGGACAAACGTGACTAATTTTTGTACAATCATAGGGAGTTAGAAAGGATATAACTTCACCTTAAATTCAAGGAGTGATAATGTGTTGGCAATTTGATTCTTTGGTGGCATCTAAGGTTCAATCTTGGCAGTCATAATTCGATTTATATTTAATGGGATGATCTTAGTTTACTCGATTAGTGTAGCTATGTTCTCAGTCAATTTTCTCAAATACCCTAGCTGTTTCTAGATGTTAGAGATGTAAAAGTATTATCCTAGCATTATAGACAGCAAAGAGCTGATTTTGGGGCTACAAATCCAGTTTTGCTATTTGGACTTCCAGTGATTCTGGAACTTTGATTCAAGCTTTACCGAGACCCGAAATCCGGGGTTCTTTGCATTCAAATAAAAGTTCTTATTTGGGGAAGGTGGTATTCAAACCCTACCAATTAGTATTAATCTAGTTTATAGGGTAACCACCCGACGGGTTAATAGTATCATTTTCATGGGTATTAGTTTTTCCTACACCAAATAGTGATAACCTGCTGAGTTAGTTCTCACCTTTTTTATGACCCGAGGTTGGTAGTAACAACTTTTTCTCCCTATGAAATTAAAGGAAGATCCTAAACCACCCAAAATTTGAATATTCCTGTGAGTTATATGGAGTTCGTACTCGTGAAGAGTTTGGATTTTGTAATCATATTTTGGCCATGTTTAGATGGGATTTTGGGTTTGTGATTCCCTGGCTATCAGTACAAATATTTTACGCACAAATTTTATAAAGAGCTTGTCCTTACAATCGGTTCCAGTTTTGCTGTCGAATGACCGTCGGCTCTTGGAAAAACCAGTTGAACTAAACCCCTCGGGTTCAATCAAGATTCAGCTATGGGCTGTTTGTAGCTATAAAAATAATATGTACCCTAAACATGTTTTCCTACTGTAGGGAACCACATTCCCTGGTACTAACCCCACTTTGCTTCCCAGCTTTTTACACCCTGTGAAAAAAAATTTTTAAAAAAAGTAGTCGAAATTCGATTGAAGTTTGAACTACGTCGGAAGCAAAGCTGAGAACAAACTGAAAATTTGTACTGTAACAATACTGGAAACATGTAGAAAACATGTTTGAGAAGGAAGAAACAGGTTAATAGAATATACTCAAAACCCCTCCTGCCCAAAGTTTTGCTTCACATTCATTTTTCAACATTTTATGCTACCCCTATATTGTTTTTCTCATGTTTTTTCCCTTCAAATATTCCACTCTATATTTTACTACTAAAACTTCCTGTTCAAAGCCCATGATTCTTTGGAAATAATAGTTGTAGTATTAGTTATAAATATCAAATAATTGCTTAACAGTGGTGGGTTGTTGGAATGAAGAGGAAGAAGAGGACCCACCTTCAAAAAGAAGAAAAAAAACAAACCTAAAGAGGAAATTAAAAATAAATTCCGCTGTTGCTTGACGTAACCACTTCAAAACAAAAATCTTTGTTAAATGCTTTTGTCTTTCATGTTTGTTGGATTGATGTAATCTTTTCCATTCTTTATTATTCTCCACTAGTATTTTTTTCTTGGACAAAAGAAAAAATCTCTGCTCTGGAAAATTCAATTTTTGGCATGTGAAGTAAACTACTCCCATTTGATGAATAAAAAAAAACCTTTGCACTCCACATATTTTTGGGCTTCTATGGGAATATTATTTACCTTATAAATTTAGAATGCCAAAAACGAAAATGGATTTTGATTGGAGGAAAAAGAATTTTAATTTTCCTTTATTAGGAGTATTTTTGGAATTGGACAATGATTAAAAACTGAAACTTCACCCTTTGGCCTTATGGAAACTTCAAAAAAAAAGTTTTAAGAAGTGTTTTTTCCTCAGTGGCTGCTAACCTATCGCATTCGCATCGCTTTTTCCACCACGTGTTTTTTTATTTTTTTTTTTGTATACGGCAATATTTTCCATAACCATTTTCAGGCTTTTTCTTGTATTTTCTCATGTTTTTTCTTGTCTTTCCAATTTACCTATTTCTTTTTCACTCAAATGTAATTTGAGATTAAAAATTTGTTAAATGATGAATTAATGCTAAATGTCAAATTTTTAATGGAATACAATGGTCCCTCATGTTGATCGAGTTGAAGTGTAGAGAGTAATCAAGTTAGTATGAAGCAAAAAAAAAATAATAAAAAAAAAAAGGATGAATTTTGGGTATAGAGGATAGATTAGTGTGAATGAGGCAAAGCTTCAAGTCGGCAAGTTATATTAAAAAAATGGAAGTAGAATAGTTTGAGGCAACTGACCAAAGTAGATTAAGGATTTTGTCCCTAATTGTGATTAAATAAAAAGGCAATTTGTAGACAATGAGTCCATGGTGTCGTATTAGAGAATATTTTCCAAAGACATAAACAGCTAATATACAATGCGACAGCTTCATAATAAGACAATGAAAAAAAAAATACATAAATTCATTGGCCATTGGTAATCTAAACAAGAAAGGTAAAAAAAAAAAACAAAACTTAAAATAATGGCAAAAAATAAAAGAGGGTCAATATTTTGGTGATTGGAAGATGCAAAAACTAAGCATATATTGTAAGCAAAGGCCTAGAAAGTCAATTAAAGACAGGGTTCCATGTCCTTATCCGAGCTTTAGCTTTTCCTACCACTTTGCCCGTTAAACCCTTCAAAGCAATCCAACACAACAGCATGAAAATTTAAAGAAAAAAATAATCTATAGTGGTCCCTTAGAGTACTTCCAAAATTCCCAACCACTGTTTGAAGATTTCCCTTTCTCTACCTATAAAAAAAAAACCAATTTCTCTTTATATTTGGACATTTATCCCAAACTCCAAACGGAAACCCATCTACGAGCTGACAAAGATGCCCCCCTGGGGAAAAAAAAATCAATCAAAAACGTTGTGGAAAGATGGCGAAACCCACGATTTGGACTTGTAATCCAATAATTTATCTTTTTTTTTTTTTAATTTATGGTTCCAAAATGTTATTGATTGGCTGGGGTTTGGTTTGAGTGACAGAAAACGCTTCGCCTATGTGGTCCTCCGTCTTTGCCGCACGCCATCGCCCGTCTTCGTTCACGGTTTCATTACGTTCAAGTTTTGGCCTTTGAACTTTGAAGCAAACAACAAATTTGAGATTTAAATCCTTTAGTGGAAACAGCTACCAAACTGGCATTCAACCAAGTTACCACCAAAAATCATTCAATTTTATAGGGTTCTGAAAGTTGGCCACTAACCTTTGACCTGGTAAACAACTAAACAAGTATCCACCCGTTAAGAAATTTAACGATTAAAAAAGGCCAAACCCTGGAATATTAAGAAAAAACATATTCAATATATGGACAAAAGAATCAGACTGTTAAGTACTTCACCATCAGGTTGGAATTATCAAAAGAAAAGAGTATTTTGGCATTCCTAGCAGATAGACTTGCTTATCTGAATCCTACCGCTGGTTTGTCTCATCCGTTGGAAACCAACTGCAAGTGCTTATTGAATAACCTCAGCATTCCAATGTCACGTTTTGATTTCTATAGATTAAGATTTGCCTCTTCATAACAAGGAAAGTAGCGTACAACGCAGAAAAACAACACAAACCATTGGCTGCTCAAGAGATGTTGATACCCAAGTGGCACAGACAGAACAAAATCTTTATATTGGCTTCAGAACAAAGTATAACATACAAGTTCATAACAAGAGGATATATTCCTTTCCTTGCAATGAAATTAGTGTTTAACAATTACCAATTGCTAAAACCAATTAATAAAACACCAAACATTACCCCATACACTTCTCTCTTCCCGTTATTTGCGGCCGAAAGCTGACGAGGGTAAGCCTTTTATATCCGGTGGCTAGCGAATGTATGAATTTCATAAACAAGTTCCTATCCTTGGAAGTTTGGAACCACTGAAACAGGCCTTCTAACAAGAATATCTTTATCCACCAAAAAACCCTTAGGAATTCGTCTTCAGAGTGAGAACAGCCAGTCCCCATAGGTGAAGAACTTCTTCACCACCACAAAAGGTAATACAATAAGAAGTAACAACACTACACAAGTTTATAAACTACACACCATCACTTCGAAAGGGAAAAAAAAAAAAAAAGAGTGAATTGTCAAGCTTTGTTATGTATGCCGCCTGTTGTTAAGGTTAGGTAGACTATTAACAGTTAGAATTCACAAAGTTCTTTATCTCCTCCATGAGGCAATAGAAATGATCGTTATTCGGCAAGAAGTAGAACCCAATTGTGGCCTTCTCGAGGAAAAGAAGTTTCACTCCTTGACCAGATTTTCTAAGGCCTTCAACGTATGCCAATTGCCAATCTTGAATGAGATCCAAACCAGCCACAACAACAAGACTTTTGGGAAACTTGAGTCCTTCAAGGCTTCTGCCCCTGGGGCCAAATGGATTACAAGCCGGATGGTCTCTATCTTCCCCTTCTGGTAGATAAGCTCTCCAATACCAATCACGGTCATGCAGTGTGACAAAATACTTCCCATCCAATCTCTTTTCTGATTCCGTTCTCCTCTGCCCAGCAAACATTGGATGCAGAAGAATGTTACCTAATACCTCAGTATCAGCTTCTGCTGCTCTCACGGCTACATGGTGAGCTATATTTCCACCAGAACTATCTCCAGCCAAGTAGACATAGACTTTAGAATCCTTTCCACTTTGAAAACAAGTTTTTGATTTAACCCACTTAAGAGCTGCCCAACCATCATCATATGCACAAGGATATCTATGTTCAGGTGATCGCCGATAATTTACAGACACCACAACAGCTTTACAAATGCTAACAAGGCGGCGACAAAAGGTGTCGTAGATAGCACTATTGGCAGAGGAATGAGTGAAGCTTCCACCATGGAAGAAAACTATGACTGGAACAACCTCAGTGGTGCTCAAAGGTTTTTCAAGGTCCATAATGCTCCATTGAGCCTCATTCTGAGCAGATGGCAGATAAACCCTGTTAAGAAGACCGGTGGCTCGATCCACGTGATCAAAGGAGAAAACCCCATCAACTGGATTCATATTGGCATGGACTTTGCGGTCAAGGAACTCCGATAAATCTCTGTTAAAGGTTCCATCAGGACGGCGCAGTAGATTGTATGCTACCTTGAAATTGGAAATGAGGACCCATGTATTCAACGGAACAACCCTCTACAAGAACAGTAACATAAAATCCAAGCAATTAGAAGATTTGATCATCAATAATAATAATAATAATAATAATAAGCTCATAGACTCGACAACTGAGAAAAGACCGATCATACTGCAAAGCAGAGAAAAATATCACCCGGAAAACCCAGTCCCCACAGACCAGTAAGCAAATTGTGGGATGAGGAATTCAAACTTAGCATCGAAAACGCAAAAGAAGCAGTAGGGGCTAAAACACAACTTCAAAATCTTCAAATCAAAGTTGAATTCGAATCTTTCCTTGAATCAAATTATTCTTGAACATATCAGACTAGAACTTATAAGACAACAAACTCAATCCCAACATTAAAATTTTTGAAGAAAACAAAAGTAAATCAAAACAACCCCACAAATTATTCCGTCAAGAACAGCTCATAATTACACAAGAATTCGGTTAAAACCATCAATAACACTCCCCCCCCCCCCCCCAACCCGGGAAAAAGGTCAAATCTTTAGAACCCAAGTTGAAAAAATGGAAAAAACTTCATTTGCTCGAAATGGAAGTCAAATATCCCATAACATCAACTTGCTGGAAATCAAAAACCGTTGAAAACAATCAAAGCCATCAGAACAAAATCACTATTTAATCTTCCAAAATAAAATGAAAGAAAATACCTTGGATTCATTGAGGTTGACTTCATTGCCACCAGCCATGGTTGAACAAACTAGACTCAAAAACCCCGAGAAGAAAAACAAAAAGGAAAAGGTTTAAAAGAAACCCCACAAAGGAAAAGAAACTAATCTTCACAAAGACAGCCTCATAATAACAAGAAACTAAAGTAAGAGTGTGTATGTGTATAGCCTCTCTCTTCTTCTGTTATCTGGTGCTTTGGGGTGTCTTTTCTTGTACTATAGTCTCCCCTTTTCTTTCTGATTGATTCCTCGTTATGAGTTTTTCTTTTTTTTTTTTTGTGTGTTCAGAATAAGAAGAGACACTTCCTTTCTGAAACAAGGAACCACCAATAAGATATAAATAGAGAGGGAGAGAGAGAGAGAGAGAGATGGAAAGAGAAAAAGAAACTCTCACAGCCTTCCTCAAATAGAGAGGAAATAAGACAGAGAGAGAGAAAGCAAAGATATGTATATCTATGTTAAACAAAGTATATAAAATATAGAGAGAGAGAGAGAGGTAGGAGGAAACTGTTTTTCGAGAGTCAAAGGGTGGAGGTGAAGCGACGGAGGAGGACGGAGACCAAAGAGAAGACAAAGCGGCCGGCCGAACTACTGTTTACGTGGGTCCTATGTCCCTACCCGTTGGCCCTTCCCTTCCCATTTCTTTTCTTCTATAAACTAATTTCTTTTTTCTTTATTGTTTTTGTTATTGGTTTATTAATAATTTATTAGTTGAAACCCCTTTTTCTATTGTACTCCCATTTGCTGCCCAACATTTTCATTTTTGAATTCAACAATCTTTATCTGAATTTGAAAGTTGAAAACTTTTTAGATGTGGTTATGGCTACTGCCACTCCTTTTATTCTGGTTCCCATTTTTTTGACTAATCATTTATCTGTTTCTTTTCTTTTCGTTTCGTTTCTTTGAAAATAAGGAATTAAGGATGCTTTTATGAACTAGTAATAACTGGAAAAGCCTTAATAAGATATCATATTGGAGTTCGATCCTAACTTTCTTCCTTTCTTTTAACGTAAGATTTTTCTCCTTTTGAAATTTAAAAAAAAAAAATTAGCACCTTAAAATTTTATTTAATTTTGTTTTGCATTGAAAATAAACTACATTAATCCATCTAAGGAATAAGTAAACGTAGGACGTGATTTAATATCTGTAACTAATTAAATATTTTTTAAATCCAAAAAAGACAAATTATTGTAAACCAATAAAGCGAAAAAAATATAATATTGTGTCATATCAAACGCATGCATATAAAAATTATTATATTATAATTTTTATTAGAATTTTTTTATTTTATTAAATTTATATATAATTTTTTTCAATTTTAAATTATATTATTTTTATTTATTATTTCTATATCATGTCATTTAAAATTATCAAACTCTAATAACAATATATAGAAAAAGAGGCAGTAATGTATATTATTGTATTTGTGATAGAAAAAACGAAAGGGTAATTTCACAATTCCGTTATATTCTTTTATTCCATAAAAATTTGGGCTTCAGGCTTGGATGATGAATACGATGTCACCGATATTTTTTAGAAAAATATGAAAAAAAAAAAGAAAAAGAAAATGCAAAGGACGCATTACTTCAGAGTTCGGACAGTTTCTGAAATTTTATTATTTTATTCTTTAAAAGACCGCTTCTGGAAATAGCCAAAACCTAGCCCTGGCAATAGCTGTACTGAACAGAAATTTTCGCATTGGCCAAAAAAAAAAACAGAAATTTTCGCTAAAAACAAATCAAAGCAGACAAAAGTTTCCTGCGTGCGGCCGACGCCAAGGCACGTGGCGACAAAGGGTTCCATATCGACTCTTTTGCCCAAAAGCCTACCCGAAATCCCGAAGCTATCCTCTCCTCCCCATCAAAACCACGAAGCAGCCACTGAGAACGACACGTTATTTGTCCGATAGCGGAAAGCGCGTGACGGCATGTTTTTTGTCAGAACCTGCGAGAGGAAGGCTTTTTCTTTTTTTTTTTTTTTTTTGGGTTTTCTGCTTTCTGAGGTCATTAGTCATCTAACGTGGGCTTTGGATTTTGTCGTATTCAATGAGAGCGTGTATATCTATAAATCGTGGGATTCTGACACGTGGCATTTCAAAAGTTCTTATTGTTTGATGGGCCCCACGCGAGCACACTTCCTCTAATTCTTAGAACAAGTTGATACGATGATCAAATAAGAAAAATAAAAATTCTAAAAAGGGTCGGATCCCCACCGATTCCGGACCCTTCATAGTTGATGGGCAATAAGCCCTCTGAGATCGCCACGTGTTCTGCTCTCAGCTTGCTTTTGGGGTTGATTGATAGATTTTTCCTGTGACATGCTTAGGTGGGTCCTACCATTGAATCTCCGCCGTTGGTTTTGTATACTGAAGAGATCCAAGCTATGATGTCCAAGAGCTAAAAAAAAAGTTGACAAAATAAGGATTAATGTGCCTTCTATTATTAAAAAAAAAAGTGACAATATACTAAACATTTTGTAATTTTTAAATTAATTATTTGAAAAATAAAAAAATAATTAAGTTCCATCGTAATTTTAAATTTTTTACACTATTTATTTCTATTATCAATAATTTTTTTATCGATTTCCTTAACTCTTATTTTATTTTTTATTATTTATATTCATATATTTGATAATTTATCTTTAAAAGCTTTAATTTTTCCTAAATTTAAAAAGTCATTCTTCTTAATTAGTGCATAGATAGACTTATATTTCACATATCTAAACCATCTCATATAATCTTATTTTATATTTTCCTCAATTTGGAGTACCATAATTTTTTTTAACCTTTCCATTTTTTTATTTTGTTTATTCTTATTATACTATACATCTATCTAAATATTTTCATATTAGTTATGCTCATTTTTTTCTTCTATTGTTTTTTAACAGCTAAATATTTAGTTTCATATAACAACACAAATCTTATAGTTATTTTTCACTTTAACGATATATTAAGATTACATAACATATATGACGCACTTCACTACTTTACTTCTCTTACTTGAACTCTATAATTTACATCAATCTCTATCTCAACATCACTCAAAATAGTTAATTCTAAATATAAAAAATGACTACTTTTTAATACTATCTTACCATTAAATTTAATCATACCAACACTCAATTTTTTATTATTACTAAACTTATATTATATGTATTCAGTTTTAAATATATTCAATTTAAAGTTTCAAAATTTCAATATATGCCTTTAAAATTTTAATTTTGTATTAAAATCATCATTAATTTCAGTCATTAAGATTATATCATCAGTAAATAACATGTACTATGATATCTTATATTTAATATGTCAAGTGAACTTATCATAATTGATAAAAAATAAATAAATTTAGGTTTAAGTATTGATATAATTTTGAAGTAATTGAAAAGTTATCAGTCATGCCCAAACTATCATCTTATTTATTACAACTTTTTCGTACATTTAAAATTATATTAATATACTTTAAAAAAAAAGTCATTTATTCGTTATGATTTATCAAAATATTTTTCGAGAAATTATATCACAAAATTTTTTCAAATCAATAAATATCATATATAAATATTTTGTTCTCCCCTAAAAACCTTATAATAAAAGTTTCAATAAATAAATCATCTTTATTATAGAGTATCTTAACATATATTCAAAATGATTTTAAAAAATAATCACCTTCTATCGCAACTTAAATCCAAATTTTCTCAGAAAATTTTATAATGACCTCGTGTCATACCATACCTTTAAAAAGTAGTGGGCTTTTATTATATAAAATTTTATAATATAATACCTTTGTTTTTAAAATACTTAGTATGATATATGTGGCATCATTTTTTATTTTTAAAAATATATGATATATTTGTGAGTCAATGTGATATCCGAATTTAATATAATTAAATAAGATGAATGATTGTTGTCATTCAATTTATGACACATAATGCATTTTACCTCATCATTTGAAATTATATTAAAATGCACACATGATATCGATGATGACATGATATTATTCGTTACATATGAGCGTGTGATTAGACAGACGTAGCGTTAATTGATTTCAGTTATCAATTCAACCTTTGATATCATATTATCACACAAAATGATAATATAAATATCATATTATATATTTAAAAAATAAAATATTACAATAAAATTTTTCGTAAAATATAAGCTAAATATAACATTAACCTAAAAAAAAAAAAAAAAAGCGGGGAGTTTTATCGGAGACATGCTTATTTGTACTTGAAGCCAATCGGGACCGTTGATTATTTTGTTTTTCCTTGATGGGAAAAGTCTAACAAATATAGCATTCCTAAAGATTCTTTGCATTTGAATACACAATTGGCCGTAAATTTTCTTCTATTCTTTCATCCCATCTTTTCCAATCCAAACCTTTTTTTTTTTTTCTTCTTGCCTTGACCTATCTACGCCATGAAAGAGTAAAGGAAAACACCAAAGTTTTTTTATAATCAACCATGCTGATTTAAATATTCATGGCGATGATGGGATGACAAAACAATGAAAAAAATTCCAATTTTCAACTATTTAATAGATTTTCATATATGAGAGCAAAAAGAAAAAGATAAAAGAGAATGAGATAATGCACGCTAATAATCCAAAACATGTGACTGATGATATATGTGTTTTTTAACACATGTTACATGTAGCTTATCTTCTTCTTTAATGTTTGTTTTACAACAAACTTATAAAATAAATCAATAATAATCCGAACACGAAAAGCCAAATGTCATCAAAGTAACCAATAACAAAATTAAGAGTAAAATATTACTTCATCAGTCCCGTATTCTTTATTTTTCTTTGAGATAAAATCACTTATAAAAAAAAAAATAAAACACTTTAACAAGCAAGAGCAACAGTCGATAGGGCAAAAGTAATTTAAAAAAAAAAAAAGAAAACTAGGTGGATGGCAATAGCCAATAGGAAGAGGGAGGGGTGGTTGTCGTATACGAAGGTGGCTAAACATGTGACACGCACACCCCATACCAAACATATGTTGCCGTGTTGCTTTGTAATTCCTAATCTTTTTCTCCGCTTCTTTTATTCTTTTAATATTTTATTATTTATTTACATTTAAAACTCCTCCTTCAATTCTTCTTGTCTAGATTTAGACTACGTGTCGCTCTCGTTATACAAAGTGTAGTAATCGTATTGATATCTATCTTGGCTTTTATTTTGTTTGTTTTTTAAGTCCAAGGTGCGGCCCACCTCGGTTTTGGCTGCTTATGCGTTAGGTCAACAACTAGGATCAGCTTTCGGCTGGTTCTCCCTTCTATCCATTGGGTCGATTACCCCTTCCCTCCCTTCCTATAAAAGCGTATATTTATATGATATTTTCTACGTAGAAGATTCAGGTTAAATGTTAAATTTAAAATTTAATATTTGAGAAAATTTTTAATTAAAGATATAATATTTAATCTGATCTAAATTAATATTAAATATTTTAAAATTTGTTTAAATAAAAACTTTTTAACGAAAGTTATATGCACGTACATTAAATAGGGTGATTTTGTTAAAATAAGCTATTAATAAATTAATTTTTATACATGTTATACGTCATGCCGTCATTTAATAAAATTTGAATGATTAAAAAATTTTAATCCCTAAAATTTGACACTTATACCTTAATTTAAAATCATTTAAATAAATTAATCAAATACTTTTTAAAACAAATTGAGATTTACAATTTTATGTGTTCCAAAGAAAAACCCAAATCAATCAAAGAGTTAAATCCAAAAACCAGAATTCGAAAATATAACAAATTCAAATAAATTAAAAACTCAAAATCAACAACAAATTCGAAGAAGAAATAAAAACCCAAAAATAAAAAATTATCACAGAAAAAAAATTCATTTAATTCAGTCACATCAACAGATGAAGGTAATCAAAACAAAATAAAATCTATTAAAAAGTTCCAAAGACAAACATTAACACAAATTTGTGATTTTAAATTTAATAGTATAATAGAAAGTAATAAAAAAAAAAGGAGCAAACAACCATGAGATAAAAAAGCTCACAAATGATCGTTGACAAGTGAGCAATTAGCAGCCACAGCAAAGAAGCAACAGGTGAGCACAATGAAGGAAGAGTCGATGGTCATAAGGAAAAATGAAAAATAAAAAAGAAAATAAGAAGTGAAAAATTTCAAGTTAGAGAAAAGACAAGTAAAAGAGGAGCAGCAAGAGATGATGACTAGATCCAAAAGGAGCTTCAACAAAATTTGAAGGGAAGAATAAATCATTTTGGGAGATTGAGAAGGAAATAAATAAAAACAAAAAATTATTAATTTTTTTAATAATAATAAAAAAGTGTCACTTGTTCTATCATCTGAACGGAAAATGATACATTAGTAATGGAGTTTATATTTATAGATGTGCATATTTTATTCTATTAAAAATATATTATTTGAATCAATTCGAAAATATTTAATTATTGTTTAGATCAAATTAAATATTACTTTTTTAATTGAGAATTTGTTGAAATTTTGAATTTTAGATGGAACATTTAGTCAAAATTTTACTTATTATTATTTAGTACATCATAAGCAAATTATTAAAGTTTATAAAGAAATTCTTACATCGTTTATATAATTTTTAAATTTTATAAATGATATTAAAATATTATCATATACTTCTTTTTATTATGTTAATTTATAAATATATTTTAAGTGTATGCATAAATTGTTTAATTTGATTGATTTTTTTAAATTTATTGATAATATATTAAATAATTTTATTAATATAATAAAAAATACATGATGATCTTTTAATTTTACTTGTGATATTTAAAAATTTCATCTAAAATGTTCAAACTAATAATAATAATAAGAAGAAGAAGAAGAAGAAGAAGGTATTTTTGGTAATCTATATAACAATGAGAAAGGAACAGGAGAAGCGGACATTTCGGTTTGTTACGTTATAACTTCATAATTATGTTATATAATTTTTAACATCTATTTATACCCAAAACAGGTGAAATAAAAAAATATCAAATCCATTGACTGTATTTGAATCAATTTATATACTATTACAGTTAGATATTTAAAAATTATAAATTTTTAAAAAATTTATACTCGTAATATTTTTTTTTGTAAATAAATTGTAAGGTAAAAAATTTAAAAATAAATTAAAAATTTTAATATATATATATATATATCTCAAACCCACAATATTTGCCTCACCAACCAAGCACCAACATACTTAAATTGCAGTAAAGGGAATTACCAAAACTATTTGGAGGCAACTGCTCTAATATAATTGTATTGATTAATGTATTGATATTATTACTCCAATATTTTCTCTATACGATGGGTCATTGTGTGCTCGTGTGGCTGTTTTTTTCAACAGCATCTTTAGCAGTTATACTAAAGATTTAACATTAATATTATAAATAGTTTGTTACTTTGTTTGAATAGGCGCAAGGAATAAATACTCTTGGTACTTTATCTTATTTTGTAAGTTCTACCTCTTAATAATGGCTTTTTAATCGGAAGCAACAAACAGGAAAAAGAAGTGAAATGAAAAAAGGAAACCATTTTCAAGTAAAGAAAACTTGAAATTTGCGTTGATGAAAAGAGTCACCATCAGGGACTGGCACGCCTCCCATCTATCATCATCTTACATCAACACAAACATCATCACATTTGTCTTGCTGATTGATAGAAGTCTGTCAATCTCTTTTTCCAAACTTTCTTCTTTACCTATACAATTTATAATAAATGATTTTTTCCTTTTAATTTAGTAATTAAAAAATCAATTAAAAATAATGTAAAACATGAATTTTACTTTATCATCTCTCTTTTTTTTTTTTTAAGGACATTAATCTTTTTTTACAAAAAAAAAATTACACAAGAGTTATTGATAGTTTGACACGTATGTCATTTTTTGTCAGGGTCCTGTCATATAAAAATGCTACCAAGCATATACATTATGCGGTCAGAATTGCACAAAACAATTTAACTTTGCTGCCAAAACCCTCTTAGAAAAGATAAGTACCAAGCAATTAATATGTTAGTCGTATGATTGGAGCACTATTAATTAATTTAAATAAAATACGATTCTTTTTAACATTTCTGCAAACCTTCTAGATAATAGTGCTCCAAAGAAACAGTTGATATAGGGACCCAGACAAAGAAACGAGCATAGCTAAAAACCAATCTAAAAACATTTGTTAATAATGAGTACACAAAACGGAAAACATCTTTCGCCCATAGAAATTCCAGGAACCAGTTTCATTCAGGAATTATTATGAAGGTAAAAACAAAAAATAATCATGTGTATCAGCAACCTACCAAAACCTACTAATCTTTGTTCACGTTTTAAGTACGACTAAATGATATTATTACAACTTTAAAAATTTTTGTCTTTATCATCATTTTCTTGGAACTTTTGGTGGCATTGTGAAAAAATGTAGGGAGCAGCGGCGACTTCCAAATGTCTCACAGGTTACATACCAACTTTTAAAGTTTCAAAAACTCAAAAAGAAAAAGGCTATCCTTCCATTTAATTTAATTAATTAAAAAAAAATTGTCTTCAATGACTATACAATTACTTTCAAGGGGAGAAATTTGGGCATCAAAGACAAATAAAAACAATGTACAATGAATATGATTTGGATGATTATGTTACTTTCCTCGAGAAACAACTGACCTAACTCTCTCTAACGATATGTACATTGTATGTGTTGGTCTTTGGAGTGACTAGGTTATTCCCCTGTTGAATAAAATCAAAGCTTCACATGCCTCATGCCTTAGCTTTGATCAAAGTGTTTATCCTTTTTTATTATTATTAAAACAATACTCAATGTAAATGGAATTCTAATTGCCCAAATAAAACTACTTTCAATCTTGAATCTAGCCCCATTATCTATCGAAAGTCAGTAATTTAAAGTAAATTGGTAGGGTTAAGAATATACCCACTTAGGCTTTTTTTTTTTTTTTAAATAATTTGAAGGCACTGGATTTACCAATTTAAGATAATTTATGCTTTTAATGGAAGACAAATATTTGTGTCACATGTTTGGATTCTTTCTTACTTGCTTGATTTTAATATGTGTGGAAACCTAATTTTTTAATATTTTATGAAAAAAAAATCAAGTTACATCAATGTGAAATTAATATATTTTACACATTCTTTTATAATTTAATATATGCTTAATATTTTTATAAATTTATCTTTAAATTTAACAATTTAGTTGTGTATGTCATACATGTAAAATTTTAAGTCAATCTAATCTGCTATTATTTTCATTGAGGATAATATATTATTTAATATGTATTAACTGTTGAAAACTTATTATTAGCAAAAAAATAGTTATAATATTTTTAATTTATTTTAAATTTGGCATTATAATTTATGTGAATAAAATATAAAATTTAAAACAATTAGATAATTGGATTAATAAAATATAAATCATATAAAAAATTTAGAAAAATCATATGAAAAAAAAATAAAAGTTAAAGTTAAGTTAATTTTGAACTAATATAAATGGATCTCCTGGTATTTTATACTACCATATAATAATATCTCAAAGAAAACATTTTAAAGTGTTCAGCTACAGGGTAAAAAGTTAAAATTTGTGAACTAAAATTGATCATAGTACCAAATGTTTATGTAATTGCAGACATAGATGGCATGGATAGTGTCGGAGGGGATGAACTGATGATTTGTTTGTTGGAAGGAGTCCGTTCCATGAATTAGCCAAGTGGGCTCTTAATTTGTTTGGTGTGTGAAAGGACAGCCAGGGAACCTTTGTTTTTGTCCTTAATTAATAATAGCCATAGATTTTGAAGGATTAGGGCAAAGTCATGCAATTATTATTATTATTGTTATTATTATTATTTTTTATCGTTTCACAAGTCAAATTCAATATAATTTTCGTTCTTTGTTTCAAGGTGGTCGGCGAGCCAAAAGAAAAAAAAGGCTTTTGAGCTACTTTCCTACACTTCTTTTCTTTGTATTCTCTTTTGTATTAGAGATATATCAAATGATCACAACGAATCCATGGCTTTATTCTTTTTCTTTTTCCTTTATTTTTATTATATATTATAATTTAAAGAAAATGCATTTTGGGTATAATTTCCTTTTTATTTTTAACAAATGATGTAGAAAAAAGTATGTCAATAAATATCGTTATTTTCCATTTTATTTTTCCAGATACTCAACAATAAAACCACATGTTCCTCGTAAAAAATTTTTTTTTCTATTTTTCGTTCTTTAGTATTTCATAGGTATTCATATTTTTATTGGAAACCATACTTTATATTTATTAAAAATTACTTTTAAAAATGATTACAAGAACAAATATAAGTCATATAATTAAAAAAAATTAGTAACTAATGCCCTAATAAAGGCACTCGGAGGACTGGGCTCCAAAAGCCGATTTAGAGATGGGTCATTAGCAAAAGAAATTTACAAGCCCGTTTTCAGGGTGACCCAGTTCACCTAGACTTATTCGGATGCAGCAGCTCGTCTTTCCCTTCAGGATGTAACAAAGTAGAGTGCCCAAAATTATAAGCAGTTGCTATTATCAGGATGCCTGCTATCTCGTGCATGTCTTGGCCATCAAGTTGCAACACTCCCATATTTTTAATCGAATTCATTTAAAAGAAAAAAGGGAAAATAATGTTACTGGTCATTACTTTAATATGCAGTTGAAACTTATAAATTAGAGCCAAAAAACAAAGTTGTAACAGTACAGAATTAGTTAAATAGACATCAGAATCAACCAAATTCCTTCGTGCATTCATGGAGGTTTGTATTTCTTCCATAGTTCTTCCTTTGGTTTCTGGCACAATCTTTGCCACAAAAAGGACAGAAGCTGCACAAACTCCTGAACAGAGGAAAAAGGTACCGGGAAAGAAACTACTGTAAATTTCCTCCTTTAACTATCAATTAGGCACATTGTAATATCTACTGAGCTCAAATATCTACTCAACTGAAGGACTCCAATCCATCAGAAAATTGAATGTGTAAGAAACTGCCCACGCACCAAACCAATGTACTAGATTCACCAAACTTCCAGCTGCTCCCTTAACATTTATGGGGAATATCTGTTACAACATATGTCGTTCAGGCCAATCATTAATATATCTTTTTTTAATATCAGGATGACGAATATACATCCAAGCTCTGCACGTACCTCCGACATTAGGACCCAAGGAACTGCTCCCATTCCAATTGCAAATGAACCCATGAAGATCTGTTTGCATTTAAAGATCATAATCAACAATAGAATTACAAGTCCTTGCAGGGAATAATGATGACCTAAATTATAACACTTATTCCAGCTCAATAAAATCTATTATCACTTACCAGCATTCCACATAGTACCAACAATGGAATCAATTCTTGAAACAAGTTGTGTTCCTGAGAAGTATGATGTACTTAGCACGCTAAAAAAGAAAGGATGACATAAAAACCAAGGACGATGCAAGATGTGATTGGTTAAAAGAGACAAGATTTATTCTAGAAAGCTGACTTGAGGATTAATGATTAGGACATAATCATGAAGACATGCTGTGAATGTGATTACCTTCATTAGAAATGACGTTGCTGCGAGAAAGCATCCCAAGAATGTGCCTGTTGAAGAAACCTGAAAGAGAAGAATTCCGTTTCAACTATAAAAGGCTTATGATGCTCCAAACTTTTAAGTGGTAAGCAACAAGGAACTTACTAGCAGAAGAGGTTTTCTTCCGCAGTTATCCACCAAGAATGCACCCACAGCAGTTATAGGGATCTGTAATCATTCATTTAGTTGCTATAGCCTGAAATATGTATGTTGAAAATTAAAGGAAATGAGAGAATTGATACCTGAATACAGGCAAAAGCAATTATCCCAATCTTCCCCGAAGAAAAGCCTGCAATAGAGAAATCTTCTTTGATATCATTATTTCCTAAGATTGAGTGGAAGAGAAATCAGTTAAAAAAAGTTCGCAAATCTTGTAACCTGCTGAAGTGAAAGTTTCACTTGCATAGAAACCAATTCCATTTACCCCTCCAAACTGTTGAAACATCATTAGTCCCACACCGATCTGAGCATGACCAATACAGTAGGACTTATCAGTTATGAAACAAAAACCTTTATGGATCTGTTTGCATCTGATTGGGAAAGACAGGTGCTTGCAATGACTGAATGCATGTATTTTCTTTGGAACAAGTCTAGCATACTGGCTTTAGGTTGCTGGTTTAGAGTTTGCAGATAATCCTGTCGAGAAGTTAAATTTGCTACCTTAATTTCTGCCTTGTTTTTAGTAAAAATGTTGAAATATTCCAATGCTTGATGTTATTACTTGGATTTCAGCTGCTTCATGAGAAATATCAGCATCATCGCCATAGAGTCTCCTCAGAGCATTACAGAACTCCTTCTGATACCCAGCCTTTGCCTGAAATGATCAATTAAAATATTATTTCTTGAAAGGGATGCAGTTACCTATTTCTTTGGCACTTGACTGCTTACCAGCCGCCTTGGAGACTCGGGAATGAAAATAAGACCCACAAGCTGAACTAAACATGGGATGATTCCTTCAAAGAAAGAAAAAGAAAGGGTAAGCACAAGTTATTGGTGAAGGGACATGAATGAATAGACAACTCCTTGGTTCTATATTCTACCAGTAAGAGCTAGCAGTCGCCAAGTCAAAGCTGTCCCTGCTAAGAAGGCTACTGATGCTCCAACGACGATCATGAGCTGCAGAATGAGATCAGATTAAGAACCTAATATCCATTTTATTGTTTAGTTGGTTGTTTTATATGCCTCATATGCCCCAGATTTATGCACCTGATTCAATGTAGCTAACCCACCACGGAGATCCTTTGGTGCAATTTCAGCTACATATATGGGTACCTGTTCATGTATTTGTATGTGTAACAGATTACATTATGGATGATAAACTCAGAAGAAAACAAATAAATTCAGTATAACCACATACCACAAAAGCAAAAATTCCAATTCCGTATGCAGAGAGGAATCTTCCAATATCAAGTAGTAAAGGTCCCTTGTAAATATTAGCACATGCAGAGAAAAACAGGAATGAAAACATGTAAAATTATTTTGCTTGAATATTGCTTCAGAATTGGAACTCCATGCACAGGAAGATTGCTGGTATAAACACAAACCTTGGAGAAGTAAATAGCTATCCATCCTGCAATGCTGAAGACAGAAGATATTCTCATTGTCTAATTCAATTTTAAATATAATTGGATTAGTATAGAATTCGTTGCTCACATTCATGCTTGCAATGCTATTGTAAAGGTCTGTACAAAATTCGCTTTACCCATTTTCGGCCTGTGAAGTCTGCAATTCGCCCACTTGTGATAGCACCATTCATTGAACCAACATTAAGTATGGAACCAAATGCTGAAAACTGTATGTGGGAATGAAAAGGTTATAGATTCCAAATGGGAATTTATGGATGAATAAAACTAAGATGATGCTTCATCAGAAAAAGAAACATGATCCGATCAATGCATTAGTTAGAGAAGTTAAGTGAGATAGGTCAGTTTCGTTCTATATACCAGTGTCTGTGACAGAGTAATGATTTCATTGAAGGGAAGGCTTCACAATGTTAAACATCTAAAGCCTACCACTTAGGTTGAGAAGATCAGATGTTGTAGTTTTAAAAGAAATTTCTAGATAAACAGAAAAGATGAGCGGAAATTTATGAAAATTGGCTACAAGATATCTGTGCATAGTATTAGTATTTATGAATTAGATTAGGATCAATACTTGGAAATCAGTTTTAATACTATTTGATTTAATTCTGGCACGACTAAGATCTTTGTATGGATAATTGAGAGGTATTAAGAGGCTGATTACAATTTTAAGCAAGTGTTTGCAACTCATCCTGGAGAACTTACTATCTTTCATTTCCTACAGGGCCACTGAATCAAATAACAAGTAGACTTTACCAAACAGAATAAAAGAAGAAAAGAAAAGAAATGGCCTAAACATGCATGTGAATGAAAAATAATTACTTTATCTCCATTAAAGGAGTTCAAATTAGGGGGGGGGGGGGAGGGAGGAACTTAAAAATTCTTGAACCAACCTCCGCAACAGAGAGGTCAAGATCCTTTGAGATGGCGGATTGAACAGGTGCTGAATATCCCATCTGAAAAGTAAACAAGTTTTAATTAGAAGGCAATTCATTTAAGTTTTAGAGAGCAATGACAACTTTAATGGATCATACACCCTTAAGCAGATTAGACTTGCAGGAAGCATTACCACCCAACATGTTAACTATTCAAGTTGGTACAATTTCACATTGGTGATCAAAGAGTCAAGATATTGTGAAATTCAAGAATCTGCTGTTTATCTTTTAGTATTTGTGAACGATTAGTTTAAGTAATAACAGGATTGACAACTTACGCAAGAGCCAAATTCGTAGGAGCCCAGAACTGCTATAAAACTACTTAGAAAAACAACCTTCAGTAATCCGTTCCTGTTACTTTTTATCTGAAACTTACTATCATCATCTTTAATATATATGCGCTGCAATAGTGGCTCTTTCATCTCAGCTTTCACACTGCTTTCACCAATTTCTACACCTTGGTTGTTTGCCATTTGTCATCTGAAGCAATAATCAAGGCAAGATGAAACGAGATTCTTTTGCTATGAGTATCTAGGCATGATATTAATGCATATATATATATATATATATATATCTCCGGAAACGAGAAAGTAGAAAAGAACTACTCACTAGAGAATAAGCGAGGCTGTTGTATGTCCTGATATTCAGAAGGAAAAGGAAAAAGCTTTCAGATGGAATACTTTGCTATAGTTGGCAGTATATGCATTATTACAGCAATAGAAGAAAATAAAAAGGATAAAGAGAACCAAGATACCAGCTTTAGATTGCAGAGATTATACTAGTAAATACAACAAGTTGCCATATTCTCAATAGCAAATGAATAAATTATTCTAACAAACATGTGAAACTCAATAGGATTATACATGGAATGATTGACTTTTTTATTTTTAGTTTTTAGGAATCTGATGGCTTAATCTTAGGATTATGATTTTAGTGGTTAGTTATTAATTAGACTTTAAATTGTAATGTTTCTGATGTTAAGAAAAGTAACAGTGAGTAAAGTTTTCTTTGCTTCAAAATAACAACATTTGGTATCAGAGCCTTCTTCTTAAGGGATCTGTGTGTGAAATTCACGTGTCATGGAAGCTGAAGCCAGTTTCTCCGCAATTGCTCCGGCAGTGTTCGACAGAGATAACTACCAGATTTGGGCAGTACGTATGGAGACATACTTGGAAGCTTTAGATCTTTGGGAAGCAGTGGAAGAAGACTATGAAATTCCTGCACTTCCAAACAATCCCACCATGGCACAGATTAAAGCACAGAAAGAAAAGAAGACAAAGAAATCAAAAGCAAAGGCCTGCTTGTTTGCTGTAGTCTCATCCATCATCTTCACTCATATCATGTCTCTGAAGTCAGCAAAAGAGATATGGGATTATCTCAAGAATGAATATGAAGGAGATGAAAGAATTAAAGGGATGCAAATCCTTAACTTGATTAGGGAATTTGAACTTCAAAGAATGAAGGACTCCGAGACGATCAAAGATTACTCCGATAAGTTTTTGAGTATCGCAAATAAAGTAAGGCTTCTTGGATCTGAATTTACTGACTCAAAAATTGTAGAAAAAATTCTTGTTACAGTTCCTGAAAGATATGAAGCAACCATCACTGCCTTGGAGAATACAAAGGATTTGTCAAAAATTTCCTTAACAGAATTGCTTAATGCTTTGCAAGCACAAGAACAAAGAAGACTGATGAGGGAAGATACAACAATTGAAGGAGCTTTGGCAGTCAAGCATCAAAATGTGGCCAAAAGCAAAAGAAAGAAGAAAAAGGATTTTGAAGGAAATGGGGCAAGTACTGCATCAACCAATGCAAAAGAAAAAAATAAAAATCAAAAGAAATCCTATTCACCTTGCCAACATTATGGAAAGAAGGGTCATCCTCCATTTAGATGCTGGAGAAGACCTGATGCTAAATGCACTAAATGTAATCAGATGGGGCATGAAGCTGTTATCTGTAAAAACAAAATTCTGTAACATGGTAAAGATGCAAAGATTGCTGATCAAGAGGAGGAAGATCACCTGTTCGTAGCTACATGTTTCTCTGGCATCGAATCAAGTAAAAATTGGCTTATAGATAGTGGTTGTACTAACCACATGACACATGACAAGGATCTATTCAGGGAACTAAGCAACGCAAACTCATCGAAAGTTTGAGTTGGTAATGGCAAGTACATAACTATGAAGGGAAAAAGAACAGTTGCAATTTCAACTTGTTCAGGTACAAAGTTCATTTCTGATGTATTATATGTCCCTGAAATTGATCAAAACTTGTTAAGTGTTGGACAACTAATTGAAAAGGGTTATAAAGTTGTGTTCAAAGATAAAAGTTGCTTGATTAAAGATGCAGTTGGCCAAGATATTTTCAAAGTAAAAATGAAAGGAAAAAGCTTTGCTCTAAATCTATTGGAGGAGGAGCAAACTGCTTTCCCAATCAAAGAAAATATCACTGAAGTATGGCACAAGAGGCTCGGGCACTATCATCATCAGGGGCTGCTGCAGATAAAATCCAAAAATATGGTAAATGATTTTCCAGAACTTGATGATCATAGTTCAAACTGCAAAGCATGTCAGTTTGGAAAGCAAAGTAGGAAACCATTTCTCAAGGCAACATGGAGAGCATCAAAGAAGTTACAATTAATTCATACTGATATTGCAGGCCCACAAAGAACGCCTTCTCTGAAAAGTAGTCTTTATTATGTTGCATTCATTGATGATTTCACTCGTATGTGTTGGATCTTCTTTTTAAAGTACAAGTTAGAGGTGGCTCAAGTCTTCTGGAACTTTAAAGCCAGAGTTGAGAACGAGAGTGGCTGCATAATTCAAACTCTCAGATCAGACAATGGCAAAGAGTACATTTCTGAAGCATTCACTCATTTTTGTGAAGAGGCAGGCATCCAACATCAATTAACTGCTCCATACATTCCACAACAAAATGGAGTAAGTGAGAGACGGAATAGATTCATATTGGAGATGACACGATGTATGTTACATGAGAAGAACCTGCCAAAGTAATTTTGGGTTGAAGCAGCAAATACTGCTATTTTTTTGCAAAACAAGCTTCCCACAAGAGCAGTGAAGGATCAAACACCCTTTGAGGCATGGTATGATTATAAACCATCTCTGAATTTCCTTAAAATATTTGGATGTTTGTGCTTCACTTATGTTCCATAGATCAAGAAAGATAAATTAGATAAAAGAGCATTTCCAGGCATCTTTATTGGCTACAGCTCAGTTGCAAAAGCTTATAAAGTTTTCCAGCCACAAACTGAAAAAATTATTATAAGCAGGGATGTGCACTTTATGAAAGATGAGGAGTGGAACTGGGATGATGCAAAAAAGATGGATCCAACCTTAAAAGAGCACAAGCTCAAGTTTTCTAGCATTAGAGACTGAGAGAATGAAATGGTGGATGACAGTTCTATCAGAGGTACAAGACTACTTTCTGATATTTATCAAAGATGTAATATTGCTGTGTGTGAACCTACAAATTATGAAGAGGCCAAGACGGATCAAAATTGGATTGCTGCAATGAATGAGGAGCTATTCATGATTGAAAAGAATGAAACATGGGAGTTGGTTGATCGACCCCAAAACAGAAAAGTAATTGGAGTCAAATGGATGTACAAAACCAAGCTTAATGCTGATGGCTCAATCAACAAGTATAAAGCTAGACTCATGGTTAAAGGATATACTCAAATACTCGGTGTGAACTACTCAGATACCTTCGCACCAGTTGCTAGACTCGACACCATCAGGCTCTTACTCACCGTTGCAGCACAAATGAATTGGAAAGTGCACCAATTAGATATCAAGTCAGCATTCTTGAATGGTTTTCTGCAGAAGGAGATTTATGTAGAACAACCAGAAGGCTATGTTAAAGAAGGAGAAGAAGACAAGGTTTATCTTCTTAAAAAGGCACTTTACGGATTGAAGCAAGCTCCAAGAGCTTGGTACAGTAGGATTGATGAACATTTATAGAACTTGGGATTTGTCAAAAGCTTATCTGAATCAACATTATATGTCAAGCACAATGGAGCTGACATTCTTATCATCTCACTATATGTGGATGACTTACTTGTGACAGGAAACAACATAAGTATTGTGAAGAAGTTTAAGCAAAAGATGATGGAGTTTTTTGAAATGACAGATCTTGGATTGATGACATTTTTTCTTGGAATGGAAATCAAACAGAATGAACATGAAGTCTTCGTCTGTCAGAATAAATATGCCAAGGAGATTCTGAAGAAGTTTAAACTCGAAGAATGTAAAGAAATGAGGACACCAATGAACTCAAAGGAAAAGCTCTGTAAAGAAGATGGAACAGAGAAGATTGATTAGGCATATTTCAGAAGCCTGATTGGTTGCTTAATGTTTCTCACAGCAATTCGGCCTGACATTTTGAATGCTGTAAGCATTTTGTTTCGGTTTATGCATTATGCAAGTGAATGGCATCTCAAGGCTGCAAAGAGGGTGCTTAGATATGTGAAAGGCACAAGTGATTTTGGCATTAAATATACAAAGAGCAAAGAGTTCAAGCTGGTTGGTTTCTCAAACAGTGATTGGGGAGGTTCCATTGATGATATGAAGAGCACTTCAGGCTATTGTTTCACACTTGGTTCTGGTGTTTTCTCATGGAGCTAAAAAAAACAAGAAATTGTAGCTCAATCCACAGCTGAAGCAGAGTTTATTGCTGTAACAGCTGCTGTTAATCAAGCTTTGTGGCTTAGGAAGATTTTAATCGATCTTAACTTAGAGCAGGAGGAAAGCACGAAGATTCTTGTTGACAATCAAGCTGCCATTGCTATCTTTCAAAATCCTGTGTTTCACGAGAAAACTAAACATTTTAATATTAAATTATTCTTCTTAAGGGAAGTACAAAAAAATGGAGCTGTTGTTCTTGTCTACTGCAAAACAGAAGATCAGGTTGCAATTTTTTTGACCAGAGCCATTAGTCATCAATTTTAATTATTGAGGACTAAAACTTGGTTTTTCAGCTCCTAAAGCATTAAAGGATGTTTAGACCATTGTTTAGGCACTGTTAATTTTTTCAGTGAGTTCATGTTTTTGTTATCTTGGTTATATGAGTATATTTTTTTGTATATTCATGCTGGAAGATATGAGCTTATCTTAGGATTTGAGTTTGTTGCGATATTGATCAAAATCTCATAGAGATGTAGAATTGTTGAGATGTGGTCAATTTATTGAGCAGAACACTTGCAAAGGAAGTTTGATTTAAATGAAGATTCTAATAGGTAAGTTTGACTGCAGGAGAATTCTAGTAAATTAAGTTAAGTGGGTGATGAATTGCTTTTGCTAATGAATGTAAAAAGTTCATAGTAAAATGGTCTTGCTTCAAAATAACAAGGATCTACTGCTGATGGAAACTGGAAACTCTTTTTATTTAAATTTATAAATCATCTTCATGTGGCAGATGATTGCATAACTTTGGTATTCAAAACTGATGGCCTGATCAAAATAACATCATCAAACTATCTTCCCATTCTTTCATAACTAGCCTCTGAATGCATTACTTGTAAAACTATATGCAACAGATGTTGAAGAAAGTCCATTTATGTTCTACTGCTGGGTGATTTGTTACTTTCAAACAAGTCAAGTCATGCTACAACTTCAAGTATATAAGAAATTGCTGTCAAAATTCATACTTTGCACACCCTTGATTTATTTGGGGCATAGTTTGCATTATTCACAGTTCTTCATAGTGCTCTGAATTGGTGATATGTCTCTCAAAATTCCAGTGCATTGCATATACTACTAGCTGCGGCCTGTCAAACTTGACGACTGCATAAAGATATCTTGATAGGATTCACAGCTGTTGCATTCTGAATTATATTGTAGATTGGATCTCCACCAGCAGGATCACTAGATGCAGCAGAAAAAAAAATGAAAATTTATCATGTGACAACTTATGAAGAGAACAGAAGTTTGTGCTCATTATGAATCCTATATGTATCGATGATTTTAAATCAATTGTGACTAAAGTATGGATGTCCAAAAAACAATGCAGGTTTGGCCTAGCAGTTTATACTCCTGTTTGAAGTGTGTTAAAATCCTAGATTCATATCCTTGTTACCCTCTTAAACTTCCTCATAGGTACCAAAAACAAATAATGTCCAAAGTTGTCCCATTTCAACTTGTCAAATGTTAATATTTCAAAAGTTTTGCCTTGTCATCCTGTCCTTATTATCCTTATGACATGTTTTAGGATAGCAATTAAGCCAATAGGTTTACTGACGGTGTACAGGAAAACATCAAACTCACAATTTTTGGAAGGCTTTTCTGCTCTGAGAATAGTTTACCTAGTATTGTAAAGGCCCAACCTTTAGTCGAAAAAATCTCATACATTCCTCAAAGTGATGCCAAATAAAAAGACAAAGATGCCTCAAATATATTGTTTGTTAGATCTAAGAAACACATTTTTTTTTTTCACTCTGCTGAATAGGTAGCTGAATAAAATAATCAAAGACATGAAGCATAATTTGGTTAAGGCTAGTCCACGTCAACTGTCAAGTTTAAAATTTTTTGAAAACGATTAATAAACTTCTTATGCACAGCATCGGTCACAGTCCTTAGCATAAATAAGCGATATCTATAAATAATGAAACCTTTCTTTGTTGCATACTTAACAGAAACCAATCTAAAATTGAAAGATCTTAATATATTCTATTCAGATGATATCATAATTATCTTAATACTGGTATAAGTTAGTATAAACAAATGGTAAAGGGGAGATCTAGAGAGTTCATTAAGATGATTGTTTGGTTCAGCAACAGCTTGTTGTATTACTCACATGGAAAGACAGAAATGGATCTTTATGGGATACTGGCAGTCTGCCAAAAATTTTTACTTGACTAACAGGGGATGATATTCCTAAAAAGTGCAGTGGCAGAGCCATGGAAGTGCTCCAATGCAGCATCTACTGACCTATTAATGCATTGGAAATTCAGAATTCTAGCTATGCTCTTTCTCTAGAAATGTAATGAAGGGAAATATGTAAGACTCTGAAAATATGTCTGCATCATTCGAACAAGAGATAATTTTACTTTTGAAGTATTTATTATTTGCAGTGTCATTATTTCTGTCAAAACTTTTGAGTTTTGACATTGCATTTTCTCAGTGTTGTTGCTGGAAATTATAAGGAAAAAAAAATCATTAATGGGAGTAATCCATAAAAGTTGTGAACCAAGCTGTTGCTTTCAAAGTAAACCTCTACGGGACAACTTGTTAAAAATAATTTATTTTTTCTCATCAACATCGAAACAAAATTTAAAAGATAGACATGAATTTAACAGCATTCAACAATGTAACACAAGCATGGTAATGGAAGAGACAGATTACATCAAACGAATACTAGTAAGTAATAACGAGTGGAAACATCCAATAATACTAATAATATAAAATTGAAGCAATGTGGTTTTCTGGCTACAAACATTCAAAGAGTTTGCCCATGACAAACGACAATGTCAGCTCATAACGACAATAGCAAAACATTAATTAAAAGTTATAGACATATAGTCACAGAATATGGAATAGTCAAACGGAAAGTTGCTGTCATTTGATCCTACACGAAATTTCTAACCATCTGTCAGGAACAAATGTTCTTAATACAAATCAAATCAAGCAGCAGGGTCAAATCTCCTATCATCATGTTCATGGGGAATGTTATGGGAAATTACTAACTCTCAAGAGGAATGGTCTCAAACTTTCGTTTCTTTAAAGCTATTTCCTCTGGTTCATAGAACTCTAGTTCCGTTCCTTAGAGTTTAATCAGTCAAGGATGTTATATGTCTAAATGCTTTTTACCCAAACCCTGCATAAGCAATCAAATGTTTAATAAACAGTTGAAAAATAAGAAAAAAAAAAAAAAAAGAGGTTTTAAGGGACTCCTCAATGTTGATTCATCACCAGGAATATATTTTGTGCCAAGTTGGGGACAAATAATGGAAACTGATGTACCTATAACCATTATTATAAATTGAAACAAATAATTTCAGCCTACCCAAAGACTAATATAAAAGAGCTTATTCTTAAAGATCCCATCTAACTACTGATTAATCTTCATTAAAAAGAAAAAAAATGTTAAAAGATAGTACTATATTTTAGAATTATACACAAAGCACAACAGTCAGCTGCTTATTCTTATTCGTTCAACCAGAAGTGGTGGTCTCACCTTGAAAATGTTACAAAATGAAAATTCCGTAAGAGAACTAATTTTCAAGTTGAAGTGGTTGAGCTTTCATCAATCAGGAAAAAGTTCCTGTTTGTCCTGCACTCTTCGAGGCTGCTCCTTGTTCAAATGATTACAAACCCACGACAATGACTCCTTCCTTCCTTCCTCTCATTTTCAAAGTCTTTCCTTACCTGCTCCATTTTCAGACCAACCAAACCTAAACCAACAATTAAATTAATCCCTTAATCAGACAACAATAAAAGTAAACAAAGAAGGAAAAAATAGGATCTATCTTCATTTTTTTCTGCAATCAAACAACCCCTCCTAAATCTCAAAACTCTTCCAGGTAAGAGGCTGGAGTTAGATATTCCATGGACCGGTTAGTGAAAGCAGATGTGAAAGAAGTAGAATTAGTCTTTAAGAGAGGTCAAAAGAGCACTTCGACATTCCGTTTAACAAATCTTATGCATACCATGTCCGTGGCGGTTTCTTTAACCACCCAAAACCCATCTTTCTTCTCCTTTAACAAACCTTTTTCCATAATCCCACCTCTCTCATCTTCATCCTACACTCTTTTCCTCTCTCAGCCGTCTGATCAACCTCCCTTGACCAGTCCTCCTGATGCCATCACCGTTAAAACCGCCATACTTCCTTTAGGCAAGGCCCATCTTGATGATCTCCGCCGCCTGTTCTCCAAGCCTGGACGCCACATATTCAAAGACGCTACTTTACCTATCTCCTTTGTGGGTCCTCATGTGATTGAACATCTGATTTCTTGCCATAACCATATCGGAGAAACTGATCTCTTTTTGAACAAAGCAATTTCTGGGTGTACTGGGAATCAGCTCACAGGGTTACTCAAATCTGCTGTCGTTTCAGGGAAAGCTAATTTCGTTTGTACCTTGATTGATCATGGTGGAGATGTTAATGATAAGGACTCTAAAGGAAGGTCCTTGATCGCCCTAGCTGTTGAAGCTGGAAATTTTGATGTTGTCAATGTCTTGATTTCTTCTGGTTGCGAAATTGATAATTCAGCTGATCATGTTTTGCACTATGCAGCAGCAATAAATAGAGTAGATTTGATAGAGGTCTTATTTCGAGCATATAAAAATGTAGAATTGAATTCTGTTGATTTTTGTGGTAGAACTCCAATTCACATAGCTGCAAGTTTCGGTTATACTGAAGTGATTCGATTTTGTTTATCAGTTGGAGGGAACCCTGAGGTTTTAGATATTAATAGATGTAGTCCACTTCATTTGGCTGCTCAGGAAGGTCATTTAGATGTTGTAGAATGTTTATTAGAGGCTTCAAGTTACGCTAAATATGCTTTGAACGAACATGGGAAGACTGCTTTTGCACTTGCTGTTGAAAATGGGCATTCAAATTTGTATGATTTGTTGCATTTAGGTGATGCCTTGAACAGTGCTGCAAGGATTGACGATGTTAATGGGATGAAGAGATGCCTTGTAGAAGGGGCAAATGTGAATTGCAAAGATCAGAATGGATGGACACCTTTGCATAGGGCTGCATTCAAAGGTCGAATCGAGAGTGTTAAGGTTTTGCTTAACCATGGTGCTCAGGTTAACCTTGTTGATCATAATGGGTACACACCGTTGCATTGTGCGGTGGAGGCAGGACATGTTGAAGTTGCTTTGTTGTTGATTGCTTATGGAGCTAAAGCTAATGTGAAGCGTCTCAAAGGTTTGGTTCCTTTGAATTCTGATTGTTTTAAGAATCACCTTTCTCTTGTTCAGCCTTTGTGTCATGAGAAGGAATGAGCATGACAGACAGATGGATTGCCTGTTTTCTTTTCTTTTTTTTTTAATTTTTTTATTTTCTTGTTGTAATTTTGAAACTTGTACAGCGTTCTGTAAATTTTCACTGTATAATGGGGATGGCATCACTTGCTTGGTCAGAGAGAGAAGGGAGAGTGTTCTGCTGCTCCCAACCAAGCTATACATTCGGTTCTGAGGAAAAACATGGCTAAAATTTTTGAATCATTCACTGCATATACTTTGAGAATGGAATTTACCTGCCCAGTTCTTCTAGTTGCCTTATGTTTTGATGATTCAGATCGAATTCCCGCTTCTTCCATTCTTGCTTTTTGGCTGTCGATCCTTTCATGTTCAAAGAAATGAGAAAATTCATATAATCAAGTAGTATTGTAATAATCTGAAGTTGGGTATTTTATCAATGACCTGAATTGGGAAAAGAATATACTTTCCTTTCTTTGGGTAAGTCAAAGGGGACTAATTCCCAAGGATTCCGTTGTTGGATCATTGGATATCATATGGGATACTCGTGAATTCTATACTTAGGGTGTGAATTTTGATATAGCTAGAATTCCAATTCTGATTCAAACCAGCAATCGGGCTTGCAATGGCACACAAATCAGAGACAGAACGTCCTTCTAAGAAACATAGGTGAATAATATAACTATTGATATAAATATCCCAACATATGTTAATTGGGGTTTGATTTTATTTAGCAACTCATCTCATCACCAAGTGTCGTTAATTTTGCTCAGTTAATGTCTAGCAGTATGATATGTCAGTACAAAACTCTTTTTCACCACCGAAATTATGAGCGAGGTATGTCAGTATTAATTTGTGGAAACACCTAATATGAGCGAGAATCTATGGGCTCTTGATCCTAACAACGTATGACAAACTTAAATATTTTTATTGTCTACACAGGCAGTGGCACAAATAAAAAACATAAGAAAAAATGGCTTCATGCAAGACCTAGATGTATCACCATTTATGTTACAATGCCGAAAATGGAAAAAAAAAAAAAAAAAAACCTGAACCCTGACTATAAAATTATTTGAATTGCACAATGGCAAAATGCTATACCGACCCTTTGACGAACTAATGCGGTCGTAGGTTAAAAACTAGATCATCTACAACTCCCGAGATAAGTGTACAATAAACGAAGTCTTCATTTTCTGCACCGTGCTACTGGCATCTTCAAAAGACATGAGCACTAATGCATGCTCGGAGAGGTTTGATACAAACTTCTTGAAATTCAAGGAACGTAAGAATCAACCAACCCTCGCTTATAAATATGGGACTCCCGCATCATAGCTTTGTAAATTATATAAAAGTTCTCAACTTCCTGGCATCATTTTCATATATATGCAAGTGAGCTCCTATCAAGGTCAGGTTGAGGGCGACCACGAGTTGGCGTTGGTGGTCTTTGGATATTCAGCTCCTGTAGTGCAATAGAATTGTACTAAATATTAATGTACATGCAGTGAGCAGGTATGCTTTTTACATCAAAATTTATAAAAATTACCTGCATCCATGCATCATCTGCAACACGCTCTGGTGATGTCTCCGGGGACTGAATGGGAGGTGGCAAGGGATGTATCAACTTTGGGACTATAACCAATCCTCTTCCGACTACCAATATAGCTCCAGCATTGTTTGCAGTACCTGGAGGCATATCTCAGATTAGGCAGCGAAAAATACCCCACCAACAGGACAAGGCTCAATGTAGTTTACTTACCACAATAGTTTGTTGCAGAAAAGAGAGTAATCAATTGACCCTGAGCAAACCGTTCAAACCCATCCATTACACATTCATGAGCCCTTATAATTAGCTGTAGCTTGTTTTTCTTACAGAAGTCTGTTACACGATCAGGCTGCATATGGCAACATAAATCGTTGTAGGTTCATGTGCATGTATAATAAAAGTCCAATTGCATATGATTAGAGGAAGTGTTCATGACTGTAACATGCATTATGTGAAAATAAGAATGCAAAAGTATTGAAGCATCCAGTAAATTCAAACAAAGAAAAGCAACCTATAAAAGCAAATAAGCTAAAACATTTACACCTCAGCGCCAATTGTTATCAGTTCCTAGATCTATCACGTTTGATTCATAACCAGGAGGTCCAGTATTACATGGTTATGTTGCAACTGGAACGAAGTGGTTCATGGAATAGGCTCCTCTGAATCCTGGGAATAGTGTAGATTTCCAATTAAAAGATTCCTAGCATGATATGCAATGTCATAATAGATACATTAAAATGCATAGTGTTTTCCTTGTCTTTCTTTCTTTCTGATTTTTTTTTTTAAATTAAAATGTATGACACAAAAGACTGCCTTGATGCAGTTAAAATAAGAACCAATAAACCATTTTACACATAAAGCAATAACATGCATACCCCAAAAGTGACAAGACCGGGACCTCTGGCATTAGGTCTCAAACCTTCTATGCTATCATTTTCTGTTGGATCAGACCTGAATAGGAAATGAAAGCCAAACTTAATCTCTATAAATATTTATATCAATTGAACTAATAGATTAAAAAAATGCATACCATAACAGGTCCATTAAAACAATGGATCCTGCATCCATTGTTATTGGCCGCTCAAGTTTCTCTATCTGTTCAACCGCATGTATAGATCTTCCTATGCCACCATGCATGCAGATAATTTTCTTTTCAATAAGAGCAGCAAGTGGAAGATAGTTGAATAGTTGATTGAACCGTGTCCATGCCCATATACCATCATTCTCCCCCTACAAATAGAAAAAAATAAGCACATTTTCTCTGGAAAAATAAATAATTAATCGGCATATGAATACTCATTCGGACCATTCTCTCGATGCATTCAATACGGAAACCAAAGAGAGCATTTATGTCAGCAGCCTCATGGTTTCCACGAATCAAGTGAACATTTTCAGGATATTCAATCTGCACAATCATAACAGACAAGACAATTGAATCCATTAAGAAATAGAATAAAAGATTACATGCATAGCCAAACTAAGGCTCATTTGATCCAGAAGCTTGCCTTAAGAGCAAGAAGCAATGTTATTGTCTCCAAGCTGTGCTGTCCTCGATCAACATAGTCTCCTAGAAATAGATAATCAATGTACCTAAAACATAAAACACAAATGATTAAGCAATTTTGGAAAAGAAATTGCAGAACAAGTGATATCATAGGAAGTAATAGTCATCAACCTAAAGTTTCAACTATGATTAGAAGTTAACAAACTTGCATGGGCAGCAAGACTATCAAACTTACGTAATGTCTCCTGCAGTTGAAGGAAACCCATATTCATCAAATAGCCTCATTAAATCACCAAACTGTCCGTGAAGATCACCAAAGACTTTTACAGGAGCTTTCAACTGAAGGACTGTGGGTTCTTGCATAAAAATCTGTTCAGCCGCATAGCACAGCTCACCCACTTCATAAGAATCCAAGAAAAACCTCCTATTAGCTGGAGCTTTCCAGTTTCGGGGCCTAAGCAGTGTAGAAATAACCTGCAAGAGAAATATAAAATTAAACTACTTTTAAAAACATTAAAGAGGAAAAAAAAAAAATGGGCAATGCTTGCCTTTTTATGCAAGCCTTGAGGAGACTTCTGTCTAGCAAACTTTTTGGTGGGATAGGACAAGTCATTATTAGAGGGAATCATCCGTCTGCTCTCATTTTCAAACTGATCCAAGGATAGCTGCCTAACCATCCCACCCAGGTTCCCTACAGCCTCTTTAGCAACCACAACCTGTGGGAAAAAACCCATTAGAATACTGTGACTGGACAACTAGAAAACCATTCAGACATGTGACTTGCAATATACACACAGCTCTAGGATGAAGGCGAACATCAGCTTCATTATCGCTAGCATCTGAAGCTGTTTCACCAGCAGGTGAGTTGTCATCAGATACAGATGTTTCCTCTGCAGGAATAGCAGATGTAGCCTGTGCAGCTTGCCAGACAGCATTTGCTGCCTCAGCTTCAGCAGCAGATGCCTCCCTAAGTTTCTCCAATGAATTTTTGTCCATGCTATAAGATAAAGATTCATCATCAATAAATAATCCCATGATGTGTACGTGTGTGCGCACAAGTATGCGTGAGAGAGAGTTATTAAGTCAGACCTCATGGCCCCCGGATGAAGGGAAGTCTGGATCGTAACCTGAAGTTGTTCCAAATGAACTTAAATTAGGTTGACTAAATCTGGGGCTGGACAAATTTGAGGATCTCTCAGGGGCTAATATAGGAGAATTAATATCAGACTGGAATGGTGAATTTTCTGCAACTAGGAAATCATCTAAAAGCATATCTGCAGAAAATAAAATAATTAATAACTTAATCATCCAAGACAATAAATTAGCAAATTGTGCAACCCAACCCCATTCCCTCCCTCCCCTTGAACAAAAAAAAAGAAAAAAAGGAAAAAGAAAATGAACCATAAGATTAGATAAACAATCCAAATTTATAAGTCACTCTGACACATAAAATCAAAAGCAAGGCAGGGCATTGTTACTCACAAAAAGAACAGAGATGTCAAATAGCTGTGAGACAAAATGTGTGCATGATTTCAGATTCAAATATTTCTTCCAAGGACGCAGATAAACATGCATTTCATTTGGCCTTCAAAGTTAAAAGTCACATGAATCTATAATGAAGTTCTCAATACCCATGAACCAAAGGAAGACAGATCCATGTCTTCCTGTGCTCCATTTTCCCATACTGCCAACAGCAGTTCCCTCTGCAGCAACCCAACAAAGCTAATTACTGCAGTAATGGACTGAGAAAATATAAAGAAACTATTCTTTAAAGGTTTCCTGTAGAAAGTAAATTTTACAAACCAATTGTTGCTGCAGTCAATCTGGTGAAAAACAAAGGGCATGAAAAAGGTAATTGAATTCACATTGACAGTACACACTTCTTTGCTGTATGGTAATCCAAAAAAAACTGAAGAAGTAGAGGTGAGCATGCATATGAATCTTTCTCCGCACATATTAATTCTACTATTGTCAACTAGAACGGCATGGATCATTGCAGTCAAACTTCCCAAAACTTAAGCCTTAATTGGTCTTTTACTTCTAACTTAATTAGTCAAATGAAACCAGTTAAGTGAGACAAGTCCATGCACAATACTTTCAGAATAAACTTTACTATTCATGCACAATACTTACAGATTAAACTTTGCTTTCTTTACCTCCTCTAAGACCACCATAAATATATATTCGAACACCAACAGATGCAGATGCATGGCGACAACGATGCATAAGTTCCAAAGAAGGATCATAATCAGCATGTCCCTTAGTGTTCCGTGAGGAAGTGACATGCCCATTCCTGTCCAACCATACTCCAGCAGCAGTATCCAGTACTACAGAACAGAGCCAATATTGAAAATAAACGTGAGATATACACAACACGCACACTTGGGACAATTATTTCAAGATGATAAGCAAAAGCTTACCTGCAACAGCTGCTTCACCTTCTATGGCACGTCCTCCTCTAAGCGCACCCCCAGTAACATGCAATCGTGCGCCAACAAAAACCTAGTAGCATGCAAAAAAAAAGTGTTGAAGGCCTATAAAACTTGTGTCTGATGTTCGTAACTACTATATTCAATAGCTGTGGCATCTACTTACCGCAGCATGCTCATACCTTGGTGAAGGGGACACTCCTGGTGCAAGAGTCCACTCCCACTGACCATTTCTATGCATCAACAGCCCATATGCATCTGCCAGAGGCTGTAGAAGTACATATATATATAATCAATAAACACAAAAACAGTATACCACACTGAAAACCCATTCACCCCTAGAAAGAATGTTCAGAATGTTAATTAGAGAGGAAATTATATTATTCAGTCTAATAGTTACATGGCTACATGCTATTCAAAGTAACAAAACTTAAATATCACAACTTATGTTAACATTTAGCAGACACTAATGAATAATGCTTAATGCAGAATGACCTTTGACCTCAACAGTTCACCAACCAAAAGTAAGACAGTATCCCCCTTTACCCCGGAAGTGTAGAAAACAATTGTAACATAGACATAAAGCACATATTACACAAGAGGATATCATACCACCCCAGAAGAGTCTCTTCCACCACAAAGCAAAAACATGCCATCTGAGCGGGCACTACCAGTTGCATACCTATAAAGAGAGTATAAATAATGGGAATATGTAGGACACAGATTGTGGAAATATACATATTAATATCTTGTGTATATTATTAACAATAAACAAACTCACATTCTAGCAGAAGGCCTATCGCCTTCAGGATTTAATCTCTGCCATACATATGGTTTCTGGCCAGTATCCAAAGCCCAGGCATCGGAAAGAACTCTTTTTCCTATTTAAAAATAAAAGAAAATAAAAGAACTGCTGCTCAGATTTCAATGCAAACAAACAAGACCAAGGTAAAATCACCTGACAAACATGAAAATAAACAGAAGTGACCATGCTTCAATCACAGTTGCCAAAAAATAAGACAAGCAATGTATAAGTCTTCCAGATACTAAAGGGCAATCTTTACTGACTACTGATATAAAACAGTTCTGGGCAACAACTCAATTTATCAAAGCAATCATGTTCCACCCAGCAAACTAATTTCCAAAAAGGATTTTGGAGAGTGAGGAAGTTGCCTATAACTATAGAAGATTGTAGAGTAATCAACAAAGTGAATAAGTTGACCAAGACAAATAGCTTCATTTCTGTTTCTTCATACCAAATTTTCAGAGTTCAATGTATTCAGGTCTCTGCTACAAAAATGAAATACATCACAAGGTAGATGGGATAAAGCTGGAAAATGGAAAGTTCATACCATCATTTCCGCTTACAGTGACAAGATATCTCTGGGCAACCAAATCCATAACATGGCCATAGCGAGGTCCAGGACCCTGTCCTTGCACAACCACTCTGGTCAAGGAAAACCACCAAAACGAAAAAAAAAAAATCAGATTATAATTAAAAAACAACAATTTGTACAATGAATAATACCCAAATCCTCACAACTAAAACTCACCTATGCCACTTAAACTTATCATTGGTCAGATCAAGCACGTAAAGATCATCAGTAGAATGCCCAGCTGGACCAATCCCACCCTAGCCAACAGAAACAAATAACTAGTTAAAAAAAAAACCCAAATATATATATATATATATATATATAAGTAGCAATCTTTAGTGTTTCTGCAGTTTACACACCTGAAACACGACCATGGTGCCAACAGCAGCTGCCGCATGAGCAGCCCTAGGAGAAGGTGGTTCGCCAGCTGGTCTTATTCTGTATAATAATTCAATTAAAACCGTCCAAAAGATCAGCTAAAATTTCAAACTCGAATTAACAAAAAAAAAAACCCCTAAAAAGGAGAAGGAAGAGACATGCATAATCACCTCGTCCACTTTCTAGTAAGAACATCGTACGAATGAACAGAATTGTTAACACCCGCCAATCCTAAATACCCATAAAAAAGTAATAATAAAATATTGAAAAAATCATATCCAAAGTTAGAAAGTATGAGAGAGAGAGAGAGGTTAACTGATTCCGGGAGCAGAAGAGGAAGCGCCGCCCTCGATGGCGGTGGCACCACCGAAGAGAATAAGTCTTGGACCGTGCGTCTTAGTGGCCGCAACGGCGGTAAGAGTGTGACCACATCGGGGACCAGGCGCATCGTCATCCGAATCCCAATAAGTCTCCAAAGTCCGAAAAGTAGGAGCCGGGTGTAGCCACGGCTTCGAACCCATCTCCACCCCACCTCACCCCAACTCTAATCCTAAACTCCAAATCCCTAATCCTTTCCAAAATAAGTCTGATCTATTACAATAACATTAACCAAAGGCTCAAGAACCCAAGATCGGAGCCCAGTGGTGGGACCAGATTTTTTGCTTGGGCGTTGGAACACTCTTTTCTTTCTTTTTCTTTTTTTTAGGGGGGGTTTAAGAATTTGTGTGAATCTAACTTTAAAAATCTCTGAAAAAAAGGAAAAAACAAAAACAAAAACTAAACTTTATAAATTTTTATTGTTTCTTTTTTCTCTTTCTTTCTGTAATTTGATGATTGCAATAAGTGGCGGGTGGGCGTGGTGGGGTTGTGATAAACTGGTGCTTAGTTGTGAAATTGGAGGCCTTAGGACACATGACCCCACGAAAAGAGAACAACCCCCCTCCCAAAACAAAAGGAAATAAATAATAAAAGAGTCGACCGTTGGAGACGCTCGTGATAGAATGGGATCTGTGATGTTGTATGCATAGCTGTGTTGTAATAAATGTCAAACCTATTAAAAGAGGTTGAACTCCAACTCCAAGCAACAACCCCACTTTCCTTGATCTTTTCATTTCTGTCACTATTTTCTAATATTTCTATAAGGGATTGTTTGGTTAGATTTTTTTTTGTTTTTATTTGTTTATGATTGTATTGTGAGTAATTAATATAAAATATTAAAATTATTTAATATATAAAATTATGATAAAATATATTTAATTAATAAATAAATTTTAAATTTTAAATTCTTACCCACATCAAATATAAAAAAATAATATTATTTATTTAATTATATTAATAATATTATTTTATCTTTTCATATTTTTATATACCAAACATCACTCAAAGATTAGAAACAAATGAGAGTGGACCGAGTGGTTCTAGAATAAGCTTGGGTAATTAATATGATTGTTGAAATGAAACCTGGCTGCTAGAATCAGGGTCTGTCTATGACTCAGTGCCGGCACTCTTCTTCCCTCCCCATCCCCTCCTAGTAAACCCCTGTGGAAAAGCCATAATCAATGCTTCATTCGTCCCAAGTTTTGTCAATAACACGCTATTTTGGTATTCTAATAAAATAATAAATTTGCCAGTCGGCTGGACATTTTCTTACAAAGTTGATGACTTCTACTCCTTCAACGTTCCAACAAAGATAAGAAACCAAAAAGATTAACATAAGTAATTAACTGGGAATAAAATACCCATTTTGGGACCCAGCAGCGCCAATGCTCCGTCGTTCAATAGCTCCAGCTGACGCGATCATCTAATTCCCTCAGCCAAAAATTCCAAACTTTGTCGCTTTCCATTCCATTCTTAATTATTTTTTTAAAAGCACAAACGCAATTTCAGTCCTTGGGGCAGGAAAGGGCAACATGGACAAAAAAGTACGAGGCAACATGATCAAACCATGGCGAGTTCACTCTCTTCAAGAAAATAGCAAGAGCAAATCATTGAATTTCACAGTAAGATTTGAGAATCATCACATGCTTTCCATATATATTTCCAGCCGGCGGACAGCCCGAATATTTTGAAGGTGGACTGAAATGACGGTTTGATCCTCTTTGCAGTTCAAAACAATCCACTATATATATATAACCCAAGAAATAAAGTCTAAATCTGCGGGGATTAGTCTTACCTATGACAAGTGTCCGTCTATGATTCTAGATAATTTCAAAACTTCCAAGTCAGAAAGAAATTAAAACATGTCAGTATTGATCAGGGACATGGATTTGGAAACTTAGCATGAACCTTATCGATGTCTGCAATTATCTCAGATGTGAGCTTAACATTGCATGCACTGATAACCTCCTGAAGCTGCCATGATTTGGTCACTCCAAATACAGCACTTGCAACCGGAGGATGATTCAAAACAAAGGCGGCTGCAAAAGATTTGAAGAAAAGAAAAGGTTTAATGGCAAACACAAAACAGAAACAATAGTAAGAAATATTAGCTAATTTAAAACATTAAGATATTAACAGATCAAAGCTCTCCAAATAAAGGTGGTCAAGCCTTTAGCACTCAAAGAGTATATCCAATGAATTCCATCCTTATTGCTTAAACCAAAACTGGCTTCAAATTTCCATTTTTGTGATTTGTAATGGGTTTTGAAACATGAGGCAGAGAGGACCAAAACTTCATATCCAATTTAACCATACTTTTCAGAATTATTAAGGATCCCCTAATTTTAGAGCATGTATACTTGCAAGCTATCACCAACCAATGGATATACGTGATCTCAAGGATAATTACTTGGACAAATAGAGCGCAAATATCATTATGTGCATGCACATGTACGCCACAACCTATCCATTGCAAGTAATACAGGATGGAGACCACATTTTTCAACAATACCAAGGTATTCCTGCAAAGAGAGGGAGATGGTATTGAGACGTCAATTGTGTCAAATTCAATAAGCTTAACAGAGATGTTAAGAGTAAAAATAAAATTTTACTCTTAACAAAGACTATACGCTGTGATGCAAACAGCTTTCCACGTCAAATTCAAACAATAAGCTTTTCTAATGTAAACTCTTTCATTATGAACCTATACATCCACCAAAGACAGCAGTATGCCAGTATGTCCACATGTACTCGTACACACAAATTGTTATTTTGGAACATCCTTCAATATCCTACTTGATAGGTGTCCTCCATTAAACCCATTTGAATTAATTATCAGACAATAACTCAGTAGAAAATGCATAAACAGATTCCATTTTCCCAGTCCAACTACAAAATAGAGTGCCATAAATAATGTCTTTCAAAACTCAAAATAATTTACTTACCATTGTAGCTGCTTTTAAAGCGTTTTTGGTAAGGTTGTATCGGGAGTCACCTTATACCTCCCTAGAAAGCAGAAATGAGATAAAAAAAAAACCTCAATCATAATTTGGAGTAATCCTAAACAATGGAATATAAAATGATGATAATCAACCACTGAAAAGATTTAACCGAGCATCAGGAGGACCACCATCTGAAGCAAAAATTCCCAGAAAGTATGCCCATTGCAAGTGGGCTGTACCCCAACAAGTTGATCCTATAAAATATTGAACGAGTATAAGAAAGAAAGAAACCTTTGCCACAAGGAATGCTGATAATCTACACAAGTAAACTAACTAAAGAGTTAATAAATCTAGTTTCCAAAGAATATTCAGAACGCAAACTCTAAATTTTTAGCAAAGAAAGACACAAGTATATATGTCTTTTGCATGGTGAGCAGAAAACAAAGAATCTTATAACACTTCAATTCAGCTACAAATCCCTTTTGTCAAAGTCATATTACTGCAGAGATAAATTCTGTGTTTGTAATGATACAACCTATTCAGAATGACAATTTAATTATAGAAAAAAAAAAAGAAAAAAAAAGAGAGAATATGATGCAAGAACATAAAATGCATAACTTATCCACATCAATCCTACGATTTTCCAGAGATGGGCAATTGTAAGACAAAGAAATTTTTTATTGAGATCCTATACATGAAGAAATTTAAATATAATCTACCCTTCTCGATTTATAAACATAAAACTCACAGTATACCTCTAATGATGACAGCACTCAGCCATTCCAGAATCAAAAGTTTGGCAGAGCAAGCTGTATGAATTCTATCATAAAAAAATATAAGCTGTTTATCATCCTTAACATGTACAAAGCAGTGAGATATACAGAGGCTATATTGCTTTTAACCACAAAAGCACAGACAACCAGTACACATGATATTTTAGGGTAGCAAGCATTTTTTTCTGCAAAATGAAGGTCCTTCATGACACCGTATCGTGTTTCATTACTGAGTCCAATATATTTGATCTGCAAGTCAAACCGTTTTACTAAATTTTGATGGTGAGATTGTATAGAGGCAAATCACATTATATATCACTTACCTTACTAGCATCAACAGCTCTGACAACAGCATCAAGTTGTTCTTCTGTAGGGACAGAAGAGAGTTGTCAGACTAGATCATACTCAGTTTCTCCAAACATGGGACCAAAGCTGCAGACACAGCCATGAATCACTTTAAAATGATGGCTTTTGTATTATAGAGAGAAACTAAAAAGAAAGATAAAATAAAGTATATGAGACAATATCTAAGAATGTCATTTTCTCTTTTCTCTATTCACATATTTTGTCTTAAATTGGCAACTCCACAACCCCAACTGTGTCCCAGGGAAATAAATAAATGATAAGATCTACATACAAACAGGTCACGCCAATGGATTTGATAAAGACCAATGTAACCCATTTGTAGATGCTTTAAGCTACAAAACTCAAACATGAAGCTATTAGTGCATAAAAGAATACAAACACACCCACACACAGGCACACACCATATCATTCTCCTAGAAATCAATTTGCAGTAGTTATGGGTGGTGCACATACATTCACGTTACCATATGAGAAATCAATTTGTATTAGTTATGATAACTCACGGTAAAACCAAATATGATGTTGGTTAAGTTAGATAACAGTTCTCTCAATAACTCCAGTTGTACAAGTATCTACTTTTTACCCAACTAGAAGAAAAAGAGTATGTAATTTTCAGACTTCTACAATCAGGTACTGCAAGAAAACCAAATCCAGATAAGTATATTTGCTGCTGTGTAATAAACTATTAGTCTATTACTAAGACAATTTTCAGCAGCTAAAATTTTGACAATCCAAAGTACCAAGAGCTATTGGTTCAAGTTACATGTTATGAAAAAGGCCAAGAAAAAGAAAAAAGATTCAGAGAGGTAATTTGCAACAATTAAACTTATTGATAAGTTATACATTCAGTAAGTAAAAGGTTGACAATCCAGAATACCAAAAGATTGTTTCAAGGTAACAAATTCCATACTTTTAAGATTGGGCCTAAACAGGTAACTTAACATGCAAGGACAGTCCGGAATTAGCAAGAGAATTCCCCTTGATAAAAGTGATAAAGAAACTAAACAAAGCAGGTTAGCATAAAACCTCATAATGCACTAATTACACTGCAAAACAGTTTCAACGCAATTGATAATATATCAACCATAACATGTGGAACTAACCTGCCATCTACAGCCTCAGCAATACTTTGGCATCTAAACACTTTGGTCCATCTCTGGCCAAAAAAGAACCACTTTGTTCCATCTCTGATCCAACTCATTTGCCAAGATGGCCCAGCAACCTGTCTCATAACCACTTGTTATGATCAATATTCAATGTAGAACATTTGAATGTGAGGCAAAGATAAATAGATTGACAGGTATACACCATTAGGGAAATACTAAATTTGGATATTGTGTTTCTCACATAATGAGAATCACCATAAGTCCACACAACCACTACTGTAAACTTCACAACTAACTCGTTGCAATCCTAGTCAAAGTTCAGATCAGCAGACCAAAAGCTATATTAAGAGCTAGGGGGGTGCCAAGCCTAAAAAGGCATTCCTTTTCAATTTGAATTTATTCTACAGTGTATATTATACTAGTATGCCACATACACAACCTTGGATTGAAATGTGTAATAACTTTAAAAAGATTTGGTCTCATGCAGACCCTGAAGTCTCACTCTGCAAATTTAAGCAAAAGGCCAAAACACATGAAACTCATTGCAATGAGAATAAACTAAAGCCCAATACAAAGATTATGTGAGATGGGTACAAGTATCAAAATGGACACTGATCATTATAAGGAATCAATCAATAAGTTAAACATCTGATAAGGCAAGAAACAGAGATAACCTCGGTAGCAATGACAACACGATCAGGGGAAATCTTCCTCTTCTAACCCATTGGCCAAAGTATTCCTCACTCTTATCTCGAGTCTCAGCACGCTGAGGAACTGGATACCTATACTTACAAAACAGAATATGAACATAAATATACCGACGCTTAGAAAACAAAAGAATGTCAAAACCCCCGAATGGGAAAATTGTACATTTCGGCAGAGTCGAAGTCAAAAGCTTGATCGAGAAGACGAAATGACTGAGGAAGAGAGTTCTGCTCCCCGAAAGTCAATGTTCCTAAAGAAATAACCCAGAGAGATCAAGGGAGGATTAGAATTCCAATTTGTTGGATACATGAGACAGCGGAGAGCATAGTTATGAACAAACCTAAACAGAGCCTTGAGACTGTCAAATTAGGAGAATTGAAGAGAGGAACGAACATTCCTCTTTAATTTAAAGCAAAACCATAGAGAAAAATAGCGGGAAACTTCTCCATCTTATCAGATATGAGAGGATAACGCTTCCAGGCTCTGCTATGAACTTCCACGTGAGTCTTTTACTGAAAATTTCGATACCGGGTAAGAAGCAAAAATGAAAAACTAGTTGGAGATGCAGGGGATCAAACCCTGTACCTCTCACATGCAAATCGAGCCCTTTACCTTTTGAGCTACATCCTCTTTGGACATGCAGCTCCAAACCTTTCTTATCAGCATATATTGGTAGAGTCAGCAGCAAATTTAAAATTGATTTTGATGACCAGAAATATCAAAGCCAATGGTAAGTAAAGTTTGGCTTACTTGAAAGAAAGAAAATTGTGTTGAATTAAAACAAAGTTACTGCAAATGCAGAGTAATAGTATCAAAAATATTGCTCATCTGAAGAGGTATTATTTCCAGAAACAAAAACCAAAAGTCTCAAACATTTCATCGGATAAAAGTTTTCTTATATATATTCCTTCGATTCCATGTAAGAGAATGAAAACAACTTCAATTTGTAAGAACAACTCCAAATTTGGATTCAGTGAAAGAGAATGTAGGCGATTTCAATTTGCAGAACCTAATTCAACCAAAACAAAACAATTCCAAAATTAAGGATTATACAGCATCAATTGAAACAATCCATCGAAAACAATCCGATCCTTATCACATTTTCAATAATAAGAATATAATAAAGTTCCAAAACAAGGAGACTCTCAAAATCGTCTAAAATTCTTGTGAAGCCGATCCAATATCACCCTTCCCTTTACCAATCTTCTTCGGCAACAGATTCTGATGAATGTTCGGTAAAACACCTCCGTTAGCAATCGTAACAGTCCCTAAAAGTTTACTCAACTCTTCGTCGTTCCTCACAGCCAATTGTATGTGCCTTGGAACAATCCGATTCTTCTTGTTATCCCTAGCCGCATTTCCAGCCAGTTCAAGAACCTGCAATATAAGAAGAATTTTTTTCTTTTAATTTTTCGTTTACAGTCGGACAATGTCAAAAGTACATTAGGATCAAGGGAATGTCAAAAGAATAGGAATCTAAGTGGGGCACGGACCTCGGCGGCAAGGTATTCCAGGACGGCGGAAAGGTAGACGGGGGCACCGGCGCCGACACGATCAGCGTATTTTCCGGCTTTGAGGAACCGAGCGATACGGCCGACAGGGAACTGGAGACCGGCTTTCTGAGATCTGGAAACGGATTTGGAGGACTTAGGTTTTCCTCTGCCTCCCTTTGTTGATCCTGATGAACTCATCTTCTTTAGAAACCCTAGATTATTATTTTCCGAAACGAAAAGCCAAAAAAAAAAAAAAGGGGGGGGTAATAAAGAAGAATTTGAGTCTGAGCTTCTCCGTTGGTGGCAATCAATGAGAAGAAAGGCCTGGGAATGAAGGCTTTATAGAGTGGGAAGCGGGCTTGGGAGAGGGGCAATTAGTTTTGATTGGTTCAGGTGAGACAGCCACGGATTGCCAACGTGGAACTAAAATAATGGAATTTTCCCTTATTTTCCAATTTTCTTTTTTTTTTCCGTCATTGCAAATAATGAAATGCCACGTGGCCTTTCTAGTAAATTAATTATTTCTTAAGCGCACCATTTTAATGCAGCAAAGTTACAAACCCTAAAACCCAAAAACCAAAAACCCTAAACAGTGCAAAAAAGCTTCTGCATCAAACATTTCTTCATACCATGCAAAAAATGGTATAAATCAGAACAGAACAACGAACAACAACAATCTCAAAAACCTTCCTAATCAAACCAAAACTAAAACCTAAACCAAGAATCCAATCTCAAACCCCAGAATGCAAATACTGGTCTTCTTTCAAATCCAATCAAATCTCAAACCTCGTTTCCTCAATTTCTTCCCTCTTCTTTTCCCCTTCTTCTTCCCACCTTTTCGCCGCTGCTTACTCAGCCTCCGTTTCTCTCTTCTCTCCTCTCTCCATCTCAGACGGCGACGTTTCACCCTCTTCCACCATCTCCTCCTTCTCCGACGTCGTTACCTCTCTCTCTTTTCGTCTCGACGGCCTTCTCTTTGCCGCTTCCGATCTCTCCGGTCTTATCCAAGTCTTCGATGTCCGATCCCCACTTCGTCGCCTCTGGTCTCATACCCGTTAGGTTCGTTTCGTCAAGTATCCAACTCTTGATAAGCTCCATTTACTCTCCGGCGGCGACGATGCTGGGGAAAGCGTGGTTTCGGACTTATTAGGTCATAAGGATTATGTACGCTGCTGTGATTGTAGTCCTGTAAGCGCTGATATGTTCATAACGGGTTCTTATGATCATACTGTTAAGATTTGGGATGTACGAGTCGAAAATTCGAGGTCAGTTCTGGAAATGAATCATGGGAAACCAGTGGACGATGTGATTTATTTGCCTTCTGGTGGATTAATTGCCACTGCTGGTGGGAATTCAGTGAAGATTTGGGATTTTATTGGAGGAGGAAGGATGGTTTATTCTATGGAGAGTCATAATAAAACTGTTACTTCAATATGTGTAGGTAGAGTTGGGAAGGTAAATGGAGTGGTTGAGGCAATGGAGGATAGGTTTTGAGTGTTGGTTTAGATGGGTATATGAAAGTTTTTGATTATAGTAATATGAAGATTACTCATTCAATGAGGTTTCCTGCTCCCCTTATATCGGTTAGCTGTTCACCTGATTGTAAGACTAGAGTGATTGGAACAGCAAATGGGATTATATTTGCTGGGAGGAGGAAGGGAAAGGAGAATGTGGAGAGTGGAGGAGGGGATGTTCTGGGTTTTGGGAGCATAGCTGAGCCGGAGAGACGGGTTTTGAGGCCTACATATTTTAGGTATTTTCATAGAGAGCAGAGTAAGAAACCAGCTGAGGGGGATTATATGGTGACGAGAACTAAGAAGGTGAAATTGGGTGAGCATGATAAGTTGTTGAAGAAGTTTAGGCATAAGGATGCATTAGTTTCGGTTTTAGGTAGGAAGAACCCGGAGAATGTGGTTGCTGTAATGGATAGTTGGTGGCGAGGAAGAAGTTACTGAAATGTGCCTCGAATTTGGATGCGGATGAGCTTGGTTTACTGCTGATGTTTATGCATAAGCATGCTACATTGGCAAGATATTCTAGTTTGTTGATGGGGTTGACACGGAAGGTTATTGACATGAGGGCTGAAGATATCAGAAGTTGGGATGCCTTAAAGGGTCATATTAGAAATCTTAAGCGGTCAATTGAGGAAGAGACAAGGATGCAGCACTCATTGCAAGAAATTCAGGGTATAATCTCTCCTTTATTAAGGATTGCTGGAAGATGAAAAAAGTTTATTAGCTTGTTGCTGTTTTATACTTTTTCTTCTATTGCTTGCTTACAGGCTTGAGAAATTTTGATGATGAGAGAAGCTCTTCAATTTTTTTTTTCGATGTGTTACTGAAGGAATTTAAGCTACCGTGCTTAGAAATATCACGTTATGATCACTTGTTTTTCCCTTTATTCAATTTTTGTGTTACTTCTCTTCCCTTATGCTGTTATGTAAATGGTTAAACTAAATTCGATTTTCCAGCAGTGCTATTGATATAATTTTGATTTTTGAGACACATCCATATGAATTTGTCAAAACAGTTCTGTTCCATTTTCAAGATTGGTTTTTCAACTTTAGTAAGCCAACACTGAATTAAACTCATCAGGTACGGAGATTGGGGAGAGATCTAATTGTTTCTCAAGTTAAATTACATAAGGGTTTATTGTTTTCAGAACAGAGCACTACCTAGCTGTTTAATTCATGGGATTTAGACTGGTTAACAAAATCCTTCAATTTAAAATTCTGATGTCAATAGAAATGGATCATTATTCTACCAAGCACTACATATGAATAATTACATCATCAATTGAATATACATCAAATAATTTTCATCTTTTGACGACCAGAAATGGGGAAAATGTTGATTAATCTGAGGGCAACATTATAGCCAATGATAGCAATTCTTACGTTTGGAATAACTCTGGCAAAAGGAGGTGTTCTTCCAATAATAGAAAACTTGAAGACTTGGAAAAAGCAGCTTACTCAAATTCTTAGGTGTCTGCCATTTATATTTGTTCTGCCACTAATATAGAATACAATTACTCAATCATAATTCAATATTTTATGAAGTAAATAAAAAAATTTATGCATAACTTCTAATTTTAAGTAATAGACCTCTATATAATTCTTAATTGTGACAATTTTTTATTATATTGATTAGTTGTAATATTATAGTTAAAAAAATTGGAAGTGATAAGCATCCTTCTTTGCTTAGCTTATCATAAATTTAGAGACCGGTAATTTACGTTTTAAACATATATGAAACATAGTGGTTACAATCACCAGCAGAGGTCTCACTTTTCGACAAGCAACGACCCATGTTCCGATTGTATACAGCCATGCTATGCTAGCCACTACCACAGCAGTGAAACCGAGATGACAAGAAGTGTGAAAATCTCCTCAAACTACACATTTTACTATATACACCACACAAGGATTAATTAATGCAGGGTGGTATTGGACATCAGAATTATGCTACATAAAGGACGCGATTCCAACAGCCGCCCTCAACTGAGGGCAATGGAATGTTAAAAAACTAAAACTGTATAGTGTAGACACACTAATCAGTTACAAAATCAGCTAAAGCTTAATTAGTTCTACTTGTGTGCACCTGCAAGATCAAAATCAAAGTAATCAAGTTAGAAGAAGAACTTGTCACACCTGATCACACAAGCATTAATCTCTTGCTTCAAGAAGGCATATTACAAGTGAAATAAACCCTCCTTTCAAGGCAAGGTTTAAAAAGTCGTCAACTTATGAAATAGGATATAAACATCCATAAAAAGACTAGATTATTGTTACGAAAAGTTTGCCCCTTTATTACTTATTACATCAAATGCAAAAGACAACAAAAAAAAAAAAAAAAACGTTTTCCTATGCCCCAATACTATACCAAACCATATATCAGATCTTAATAACAAGCTAAGAATAGATCATAGCCAAAATAAATAATCAATCTTAAAAGTTAACCTAGCAGGATCAGGTGTTTAATGCAAACAGAGAGATAAATAAACAGATGCTTAAAGTCTTTAAGTGTACTGCGTTCATATTACTTTGATAAGTTCGAAAACTAGCCGTGTGTTATGGACATCTTCAAATCCTGAAGGTTGGAAGGTGCTTTAATGTTGCCATATAGAAGAACAGTTGGAGCAAACATCCTAAAATGGCATTCTAACAGAAGTTTGAATCTATTAAGTTCCTATCCAGTTTCACTTCATACATCCCCAAGAAATGGTGTCTTTTATAATTGTTGGTGTAATGATTAATAATGGATAGAAGCAGGTGCCAAACCACATGTACAAACACCACACACAATGGAGTTGCAGTTCAGACTCTAAATTCTTGTCTTAGCCAAAAGACCAATCTCCAATTTACAGACGCTAGAAAATGTATTTCATACCTTACGTGCTTGAAGCTGCTAAATTATCTGTAGCTCTTCCAGAAGCTCCACTCCTTGACTGGCCTCTGTTTTCTTCTCTTGAGACACGTAATGACCTCAACTTAGAAGAGGACTTAAGTGAATGTATCAAAGGAGCATTGTCATCTTCCTCATCTTCCTTATCTCTCTCATGCTGAGCATCTTCTTGGTCTGATGTGTTAATTGAATCCTCTTCTTCACTTGAACTGTGCTCATCAAAAAGTCTCTTTCCCTCAATATTTCGCCGTTTCCGAGGACGACCCCTACGTCTTGCAGTAGTTCCTTCCTTCTCATCTGCAATACACCAGCTTAATTAACTCTTGAATTAAAATATAAAGAACAGACTCATTCCTTAACAATGGTGAAATGATCTAGTAAACGGGAAGAAAGGAAGAAATTTTTATTAGAAGAGAACTTCAGTACTTGGGAACATGTAATCCAAATTTCTAGTTCACATAAAAAAGAACCAGAGAATGATTGAAGTAAGATTCACTGGTACCTAGAATCCCTTCGTTCTTTGCACATTTCTCATGCAAACTATCATAAAATATATCGTAAGGGCGCCACCCACTTGGATCCTCATCTGTATTTACATTCTCTGTCCGCTTCTGGACATCCTTCAGACTACAAAATAATAAAACATTAAGTGATACACAATGATTTATCCCCGTCTAAAAATGAAATAGAATGTTTTCTATTACATCAGAGAAATTTCTTACATGTCTCGGATGTCAGGCACAGAAAGTCTTGATGCAAAATGAAGCACAGAAGATTCCAGAAAAGACAGCTGTTTTGGAGCGTCTTGAAAGGCATACTCAATGCCTTCCTTAACAATCTTTAAAATCTCTGGTCTGTGCTTGTTTCGAGCAGCACCAACAAATATTCCAGCAAGCCGGGCAGCCAGGTTCTTACAC